CCGGTGTCATCGGCGAGGGCGCTCAGCACGACAAGGATGAGAGCACCATTTCCAGCCTGGAGCAATCGAAGAAAGGGGAGCTGGCAAGGTCGGACGACCATCACACGGACGTCCGGCCACTGTGCGGACGTTCGGCTAGCATAGTAACACCCACGTCAGCACCGACACTGACGCCTACGTCGGCGCTTGCGCCGCCAGCAGCTTTGTTGGGACCGGCGTCGTCGCCCAGGAGCTGCGTCGACGGCAGGGTCACCTGCGGCTACCTCCACGACCTCGTGTTGCTGGCTCACTGGGGCACGGCCGTGCGCGGCGTGCGCTGATGGCGCGGCGCGCGCGCGTGCACCCCTCCCCTCGGCTGCCCAAGACGTTGGCGAGCCGCGCGCACTTCTGTTTCTCTTCTGTCGGGAATCTACTGGCCCCGGTCATCTAAACCCAGGTCAGTCGGGCTGTGCAGGATCCTGCAAGATCATGCAGGGCCCTGCAGGATCCTGCAACCCTGGCTCTGCATGAACCTGCAAGATCCGGCGCTCTGACTGACCTGGAAGAAGGACAAAAGCCATAAACATAAACTTTTGTTGCTCCGTGCGGACTTCTTGGATCTGCGCTGGATCCCACTCCCTAGCGCGCGGAGCGCGCCAGGGGCGGCGAAGCGCTGTAGTGGGTGGGGGAGACGCATGCGGCCGCGGCCACTGGGGCTTTCGGTGGAGTTCCCTATGGGGCCGCGGCCACTGGGGCCTTCGGTAGAGTTCCCTATAGTGAAGACCAATCCACAAGAACCCTTCCACAAGAAACCTAACCCTGAGACCCCAGGACGTCCACTGACTTTTGGTGTGGGAGCGTCACGCTTTCCATGGCAAAATCATCGGAGCCCAAGAAACCCAGGGCACCCTGGAAGCAAGCAGGGTGTTCCTTGGCATGGGTCCCCACAGCAGAGGGGGCCAAGAAACGCTGCACGTCAGGTGGTGGGGAAGCGTGCGGCCGCGGCCCCTGGGGCCCGAGGGCGGAGCTCCCGCGTGGGGCCACGAAACGTGAGAGGGGTGCGACGGAAGAGGGGCATGCGGAGGGCAGAGGCAGGGATGGGAGGAAGGGCAGCGGGAGGAGGAGGAGGAGGAGGAGGAGGAAGGAGGAGGGAGGTGGAGGAGGAGGATGAGGAGGAGGAGGAGGACGAGGAGGAGGAGGAGGAAGGAGGAGGGAGGAGGAGGAAGGAAGGAGGAGGATGATGATGAGGAGGAGGGGGGCGCTGTCTCTTCAAAACGAGGACCCAACACCACAGGATGGTTTTGAAATCATGAATCTGTGCTAGGGGGCTCCGGGGGCACGCGGACACACGTGTGGTTTGCGCCCCAGGCCTTGAAGCATTTAAAACTACTGGGGACTCGCACCTCAGTTCCCGCAGGAGCCTCAGTTCGGCACACCTCTCTAGCACTTCGTGCCACGTGGGCCCCCAAAAGCCCTCGGCTGGCCTCCCGAGACGGTTCATGGGAGCCTCAATTCCGCACACCTCTCACGCACTTCGTGCCACATGGCCCTGCAGAAACCCCTGGCTGCCCCCCGAAGACGCCTGCATTCGCACACCCCTAACGCACTTCGTGCCATGAGGATCTTCAGAGATACCCAGTCGGCATTGTGGGTACGATTGCAACTACACTGCTGCCATCCTGCCACGGTCGGAAAAGCATAGCAGCCCAGCGGCCGAGGCGCTGTCTTGCCGCAGTCATCGAGCTCCCACGAGCGAGGTCGTCCGAAGAAAGTCGACCACCGTACCTAGAAGCACGAGGTGGAGTGCCCTCGGGTCCCTTGAGCCCTCTGTCCTCAGTCTTCAGGATTGAATAATGCGGGATGACGATTAAAGAAATGGGGGAGAACGATTAATCATATAGTTTTCTGTTATTTCTGCACAGTTTTCTGACTGGAAGAGAAAGATAAAAAATAGCTTTCCAGCCCGCGGCCGTTTTTTCCTAATCGTCATCCCGGACGCCGCCGCGTGAACACGACCCCCGGTCATTTATTAATCGTCATCCCCCATTACTTGAAGGGCCCAAGCCCAAAATCTCACACACTTTCTGGGGATTGTCGCGGCTCTCTCGGGGCTTCGCGCATGTTCTCGCATGACTTTCCGGGAACCAGAGGGCCCCGACACGGGCCCAGGGGCGCTCCAAGATGCCCCAAGAGAGCCTCGAGAGACCGCGTAAGACGGCCCTGCGAGGCCCAAACCATTGACTTCCCTTAGGCTGTTGGAGGGATGTAGCGTGCCACGGCTTGTCGGACACCTGGCGTCCCGAGATGGCCCAAGAGGCCCCGAAACTCGCCCCAAGACGGTCCAAAAGGCCATCAAACGGCTCCCAGACGGCCCAAGAGGGCCCCAAGACGGCCCACGACGCCCCGAAGACAGCCCAGGAGGGCCCCAAGAAGGACTCAAGAGGGGGCCCAGAGGGAGAACACGAACCAACATTTCGAGCCCTCCGCCCCAAGATGACTTCCGAGACCGCCAGCAGGCACCCATGAGGCCTCCCTGAGGCCCCCAAGAAGCCCAAACCAGGTTCCAAGAGGCCCCCAAGAGACCCCCGAGAGGCCCCCCCAAACACTCCCAAACCGCCTCCAAGATGCTTCTCAGAGGCCTCCCACGAGATCACCAGACGCATTAAAGAAGACTCTCACCCACAACCAAAGCGCGGTGGCGGAATGGGCCGAAGGCCACTGTATCCGCCGCCCCCTGCTAGCTTGCCACAGAGGTGCCTGGCGTGCTACATCCTACCGCTTTTGGTTTTGGCTCTTTTCCCGCAGAACTCCCCCTGGGGCTTCGGCCGATCCCGCCGGCCGCCTGGAAGGCGCCCGAACGAGCACGAAGTCCGGAAACAATTCTCCAAGATGGCTCAAGATAGCCTCCAAGAGAGCCCAGAGGGCCCCCCAAGTTCGCCCACGATGGTCCAAGATGGTCTCCAAGACGGGCTAAGAAGGTCCAAGATGCCTCCAAGTCCGCCGGCGAAGCCACCAAGACTGCCCAAGCTGGCTCCAGCATGGCCCAAGACGGCCCCAAGAGGCCTCCAAGACGGCCCCAAGAGGCCTTCAAGACGGCCCAAGAGGCCCCCAAGAGGGCCTCCAGGAAGGCCCGAAGAGGCCAAAAACATTGATTTGTTCAGGTGTTGGAAGAATTTGGCATTTGCTTCTTGTCGGCCTTCCGAGACGGCCGAAGAGCCCCCAAAGATCGCCCTAAGATCGCTCAAGAGGCCTCCAAGATGGCCCCTGAGCGACCCAAGATGCCCTCAAGACGGCCCCAAGCGGGCCCCAAGATGGCCCAATATGCCTCCAAGACGCCCAAGATGGCCTCCAAGACGGCCCTGGAGCAACCCAAGAGGGCCCTAAGTCGGCCGAGAGAGGCCCCCACGACGGCTTCCGACGGCGTCAGACGGGCCAGGAACCCTAGATGGCCCAAGACGGCCCCTCAGAGGCCTCCAAGACGGCCCAAGAGGCCCCCAAGAGGGCCTCCAGGAAGGCCCGAAGAGGCCAAAATCATTTATCAGTTTTCAAAGTTTTTGAAAGAATTTGTCTTTTGCTTCTTGTCGGCCTTCCGACGGCCCGAGACGGCCCAAGAGCCCCCCAAGATCGCCCAACAGGTCTCCAAGATGGCCCCAAAACGGCACAAGATGCCCCAAGAGGGCCCCAAAACGGCCTAAGAGGCCTCCAAGACGCCCAAGATGGCCTCCAAGACGGCCCTGGAGCACCCCAAGAGGGCCCCAAGTCGGCCCGGAGAGGCCCCCAAGACGGCTTCCCACGGCGTCAGACGGGCCAGGAATGTCCTAAGACGGCCAAGGAGGCCGCCGAGAATCCCCCAAAGGCCCCCAAGAGGCCCAAGGAGGTCCCCAAGATGCCTCCAAGAGGCTCCCTGGCTCCCAGGAGGCTCCAAGAGTGGCCCCTGAGGCTCTCAAGATGCCCCCTCCGCCTCCTCCTCCTCCTCCTCCTCCTTCTCCTCCTCCTCCTTCTCCTCCTCCTCCTGATCTTTCCCGCCATCCTACCCCAAGTGCTCCCCGAAGGGTTTCCCCAACAGCTAGGGGAACACATTGTCCGATAGCTTGGCAGAGAGCTCTTGCCGCAACGCCCGGCCACACGGGCGATTCCTCCAAGGCATGGGGCGGCGGTGGCGCGCCGCGGCTTCGATCCGCCGCGCCATGTGGCTTGCCACAGGGGTGCACGGCGTGCTGGATGGCCGCATGGCTTTGGTGCTTTCAAAAGTTCCCAGTGTCGGGGATCTTCTGGCCCGGGTCAGTCCAGACCCGGGTCAGCGAGGCCTTGCAGGATCCTGCAGAATCCTGCAGGACCCTGCAGGATCATGCGCCCATACCTGGGTCAATGCGACCCTGGCCCTGCAGCATCCTGTGAGATTCGGCGCTCTGGCTGACCCCCAGTTTGCATTAACCCCCTTTTCTTGATCCCCGACAGTGGTCTTGGCCTTATGCGCCAGCCACCAGGAAAACTGTCCTGGAGGTCGGAGGCAAGGGCTTGTCCACTCTAAGATGGCTCCCAGATGGCCTCCGAGATGGCCTCCACACCAGCTGAGACGGCCCGAGATGGCCTCCAAGATGATCCCAAGATGCCTCCAAGACGGCCCAAATACTACCCAGGTGGCCCATGAGTCCCCCAATACTCTCCAAGAGGGCTCCAAGAGGACCTCCAGGAGGCCCAAATCATTGACTTCCCTTGGTTGTTTCGCTGATTTTAGCGTTCTCGCCTTTTCTGGCTTCCGACGCTCCAAGACGGCCCCATGGGTCTCCAGGATCGCCCCACGACTGCCCGAGAGGCTCGCAAGAGGCCAGCGAGACGGCCCAAGAGGGCTTCAAGACGGTCCAATAGGCCCCTAAGACGGCCCTAAGACGGCCCCAGAAACCTCCAAGACGTTCCTCAAGCGCCCAAAGAGGGACCCACGACTGCCCAGAGAGGGCCCCAAGACGTCTTCCGAAGGCCAAGAGTCCCACAAGAGGCCCACAAAAGGCCCGGGAGCCCCGGAAAGCCGCAGGAGGCCCCCGAAAGGCCCCTCAAAGGCCCCCAAGAGGCTCCCGGTAAGCCCCCAGGATGCCCCAAGAGGGCCTCAAGATGTCTCCTCTTCTTCTTGTTTTTCTTCTCCCTCCTCCTCCTCCTCCGCCTCCTCCTCCTCCTCCTCCTCCCTCGTCCTCCTTTTCCTCCTTCTCCTCCTCCTCCTTCTCCTTCCTCTCCCGAGTGTTCCCCCAAGGGGTTCCATACCGGCGTGTGGAACACGTAGTCCAATAGCTTGGCCAGACTCCGCCCCAACGTTTGGCCGCATGGACTTTCCCAAAGGGCAGGAGGCGGCGGTGATTCGCCGCAGGCGTCTTCGATACAACTTAGGAAGACAATCAGCTGCAGTGCTCAATCCTGTCCTCCTTCTATGTCCGCGCGCTGCTGCCAGCGCTGCTCTGCGCCAGCATGCGCTCGAGCATGTAGCCAACGTCACAGGCCTGTACGTTCAAGATTTGGTGTGGGCACTCACTCAGATAGACGGCAAACTGCTGATCTTCGTTCTCTTTTTTACTCAGATTGGCTTAGTCCCTAAATTACATGGAGGTGGCAACAAATTAGTGGAAGTGCGGCTCGTGCGCGCCCTGTGAGACCCCTGCGCCTGCGCCCTCATTTAGGGCAGAGTCTGCTCTACAGTGGTGCCTTCAGCACTTCATCAAAAAGCGCGCGCGCGAAAATCTGCTTCGCCTGAAGCTTGAGCAAGGTCTCGGAGGCAGCGGTGGACAATGGCACCGCGATCGTCTTGAAGAAATTATGAATCAAAGGGCTCGCTTCCTGGGCGAGCACGGGGCCGAGGATTCGTGGGAGGTCTTCTTTGTAGTAGCGATCGTTGGGGAACCTGAAACCGTCTATCAACACCGGCACGGCCGTGCTTCCTTTCCTTCTTTTTACACCTGCATGCTCAGACTGCCTGGAAAGACCATGATGGTCGTCAACACCGTGATCTTCCCCAGTCATCAAGTCGACGATCACTCGAAGCTGCGTCGCGGATCTCATCGAGCCGTGAGAAAGCAACAGCACGGTGGCTTGCGAACACTTAGCCATCCTGCCGTAAATCTCTGCCTCCTCCTGCTGGTAGTCGTAGAAATGCACCGCGCCCCTGCCCCCCACCGACAACGCGTGCTCCCTGATCATCGCGTTCAAGATGGTGGCGGCAGCCACGGCCTCCATGTCGCCATGGTCGGAACAGATGACGATTGAACACTCTTGGTCTTTCGGCAGCAAGTCCAGACCGCGGGTCATGCTCACGACCATGTCGCTACCCGGTCTCCGTGTCGTGGGCCTCGTGAGCAGGCAGTCCACCAGTACGTCGAATGTGTGAACTCCGCCCGTTTCGTCCAGCCTCAGCTGCGGAGTTTCGCTGCCAAGCAGCTGCGCGAAGGCGTTCCGCACGCTGTCGAACGAGATACCGTACTCCTCCAACGTGCATGAGCTGAGATCCAAAAATTCGTCGACCTTCACCAACTGCTCCTCCGTCGGCGGCTGGAATGCCGGCGTCCTCACGGCCGTAACCCTCACTGTGCCCACGTGGAATGCCGTCGTGATTTCTCCTGCGCACCAAGGTCGACTCAGTGTGTCACTTGTCAAGTACACGACGAGGTGCTTCACCTGACACTTCACGATGTCGAAGAGGCTGTCCAGCTCAGTTAGGTTGTCCGAGTCTATGAATACGCGCCTTCGCGTATGCTCTTTGAGCTTTATCTTGAGCAGACGTGCCTGGGCGGCTGCGGCAGCTTTGTGATGGCAGACGAAAAAACCGTACTTGCGTCGGGGATCGCATCGACTGAAGAGGGCCCACACAATCCCTCCGCCTGCGACCACGAAGACAGCAAGTATGGTACTGAATCCCAGCCACTCGACCGTTGAAGGGTTCACGTTGAGGTCGGCCACCAGTGCTCCAGAAAGCAACAGCAGTATCAGCATGATGCACATGACACCGTCCATACAGTTGACTACTCGATTGCGCCATGGCTTGAGTTCCTGCTGCAACAGCGTCATAAAGCCGATGATGGTAACCATCACGCAGATCTGAAGTGCCACGTCGTCGCCGATCACCACGGGCACGAGGCAGATCAGCAGGCTCCTGGACAGCAACACGACGCCGTAGTAGTACCTGCGCGGCCAGAAGCGGCAATACAGGAAGCGCATAGCCGCCAGTGCGCTCTGCGAGTGCATGTCCTTCGAGGTCGCCAAGTACCCAGGATAGTGCATGATGAAGTAGCTCACGGAGGCCACGAATGGAAGCGGCACAAGAATGAGCGACGTGATCCCTGTTGCCATCATCACGACGTGTCGGTCACTGTCGAAACACAGGATTGAACTGGCAGCCACCATCGACCTGTCGCCAGAGGGGTGCTTGTAGCAGATGAGGGGGGACACACCCGACGTAACGATAGACATGAAGAATATGTTGAACAGCGATCCGACCGTATTCACTAGCTCGACCTGAATGCTGGTGCTGGGGATCCGCACCTTCTTGAGACAGAGCAACAGGAGAACAACAAGGGCACTACAAGGGGCAAAGAACTGGCGCATAATGAAGGATACCGCAGGGCTGCTAGTCCCGATTATGCATTCGATACGCACCACTTTGAGGTCGAAGCTCAACACATTGATGAAACCAAGGATAGCGTCAACCCCGCTGCCCCAGTCGATAGACATTTGCGTAAATGCGCCCATGGCCTGGACCCCGCCGAACAGCAGGCCGGTGATCAGGACGATCATGATCGCGGAGCTGGAGTGCATCAACAGATTATGGTTCACCGTCCTGGTGACCAGGACGAGGCAAATTAAGGCGCAGATGCTGATGAACAAGAAGGGGCAGACATCGAGAGCCCCGCACTCGCGGCAGCTCCCGCCGCTCGAGTACGAGCCCTCCGCGCACTCGCCGCACGCGGGCTGCACGGCGGCCCTCCGCTGCGCACAGGCCGCCGGGCCGCCGCCCAGGCAGTTGTCCTGGGGCAGGCACCGGAAGACCCGCGTGGGCTCGGAGGGGAGCGACATGTATCCCTTGAGCAGCTGTTAGGGGGCCACAAGCGAACCCTACCCTTACCCCCCACGACTTCTGAGGGGGAGGGGGGGGTTCACTTCTTTCGGGAGGTCACGAGCGAAGTGAACCCCACCCTCCCCCTCAAAAATCGTGGGGGGTAGGGGTAGGGTTCGCTTGCGGTCCCCTAGCTGTGGGAAGGGCTGGTCGCCAGGGAAAGGGCCCGGGCCCTGCACGACGTTCGCCAGGTCGCTGCCCAGCGCGCAGGCCATGCCCTCCGGACAGGGCTCGCAGAGGGCGGCGGCGGCCTCCCACGGCCTGTATTTGCCCCGCGGGCACGCGCACTCCACCTCGGAGACCGAGCCAGGCCACTGCGTTGTCAGCTGACCTGCGGCATCGCAGGGGCTGCAGTCTGTCTGGCCCATCTCTCCCTGCCACCGCCCAACGGGGCAGGTGGTGCAGTTCGAGGCGGCACGGCCAGAGTAGGTGCCTGCCAAGCAGGGCTCGCAGGCCGTCTTGCCCGGCTGCGACTGGAAGGTCCCAGCAGCGCACGTCTCGCACGCTGTCATGCCCTTGTTGGGTGCGAATGTGCCAGGCGCACACCCACTGCACTGCGCGGTAACGTTGTCGTAAAAGAAACCACTCTCGCAATTGGTGACGTCCGGTATCCAGCTTCTCCACGTGGCCTCGTTGTCCAGAAGCCACTCGCAGGCAATATCCCTTGGGCTCTCGCTCTCGTTCAGCTGCGCCTGCAGCTGCCTCGTCGAGAAGTCGTCCATCTGCTCGTTGTCGAACATTACTCGGCTGAGGAAAGTCATGATGTCACTCCCCCTGTCGACTTCGAGGATCTTATTCCACGCGATCTTCTCTACCGGCTGCGCTTGCTTGATGGTAAGCATTTCCTCCCGGAACAGGACCATCTTTGGGCTTAGATGTTCGAATGCGCCGTCGGGGCGCCACCAATAGAAAAGGAAACTGAGATTCCTTGCCGCCAAATCCTGTCACCGCCGCAAAGGAGGAGGTGGCGCGACGTGGGCGACCTTCCAAAAAACTTAGGAAGGCCCAGAGGCATCGATCAAGGCTTATGGAAAAGCTGGACGGCCTCTAAAAAACTTTCCAGAGTCTCAGAAAACCGCCACACGCGCGGCCCCCTCTTCTGCATCCGACCGATCCGTCACAGCCGTCAAAAGCCCTGGTTTCCAGCCGTACGGAGCGATCGCCAGGGGGAGCGAGTTCGCCTCGGCAACCTCGACCCATTCCTCCATGTTCCAATTGAACTCTCCGAGGAGGACAGGGATGCAGGCTGACAGGTCCGCAGTCATGCCTCTTGGCACGCCAGGGCGCGCTGGGGTGGCTGTCAATTTTCTGGTGATGGTCCCAATGATTTTTTCAAGGCGGCTCCTCCTCCTTCCCGCAAGCGGGGTTGAAGAAACCCGCTCCTTGATTTTGCTCTCCGGCGCCCGTTTTTCGTCCTCAAGATGGCCGAAAACCGCCGCCAGTACCATCCCGCCGCGTTCAAACTCCTTTCTAAACTGAATATTCGGATCTACCGCCCCCCCCGTCACTCGTATTGCAATTTGCATCTGATTCTGCCCCATCGTCCATCCCAAATATGAAGTCTTCCCGTCCCAACAAGGCAAGTATCGACACCATCCCCCATTCCCTGCAACAACTATTATGCGCGCACGCGTCTATCACAAATCATCAGTTTTCAAACGTACCTTCCAACAGACGTGACGAAGTACGCGCGCGCGTCGTCGCGCGCGCGTGCCGAAATCCTTCAACAACCTTAAGTGTCGTACGGACTTCAAAACCGAGTGCCCCGAAAACGACTGAACACATGTGGTTTCGCAACAAGCAATTTCCAAAAACTTGCAATCGTTTTCCCGATTTTTTATAATGAAACATATATGTTTTAAACATTCCATACCTTGTTACCAAGCGGGCCTCTCACGCGCGCATGTCGGAATCGCTCGGACGCCCTTGCGCGCGCACCGTCGCAGTAATCCCTTGCAAAAAAAAAAACGAAACGAAGTGCACGCGCGCGCGCGTCGTTGCGCGCGCATGCCATTTATTTATATATATATATATATATATATAAAAATCCACACTCGGTGTCCAGAACACATATTAAAACACACGCGCGCTGTGTTGAAACATTTTGTTTCAAAAATGCATGCGCTTGCGTTGCTGCGGATTCTTAAGTAAATCATTGGTTGTTGAACATGTTCATTCAAGTCTGCCAAGCGCCGCGCGCTGGAATCATTCGGACGCCCTCGCGCGCGTGCTGGGAGGAGCACGATCCGTTCCGAATAATACCATACTGGCCGCAGTCGCGCGTCGGCCGCGCGCGCATGTCGACCCCCTTACAAAACCAGTATCGCCGCGGTGCGGGCGCCGTCATCGTCGTCGGCGTGATCAGCATCGGCGCCGTCACTGGCCTTGCCGTCGTCGTTATCATCATCGCCGCCAGCATCGCTACCATCATCATCGCGTCTACAGTTGTCGACGTTGCCATGATACCGCGACCGCCCAAGTCGCCGACTCGCACTGAAGTTCGAGCTGGGAAGTGCCCAGCGGTCTGCGCCACCGCGGCCGCGTCGGTAGCGCCAAGCTATCTGGCCGCTGCGCGCGCGAGCATGCACGGGCTAGCGCGGCCGCAGAGATGCACCAGCTAGCTCCAAGCACTCATCGCAATCGCTGCCGCATGGGTTTTGCAAGCCAAGTTGCAGGTGGGTGGGTGGGACATCCCCCATCTCGTTTTGCAGGTGGGAGTAGGGAGGAGGGAGATGAGGAGACCGTACAGATGCCACAAACGTCAGCAATACAATCATCATCGCCCTCACTGGCGGCATCATCTCCATCATCATCATCATCATCACCACCATCACCATCATCAGCATCAGCATCAGCATCATGATCATCATCATCACCATCATCAACATCAGCACCAGCATCATCATCATCATCAGCATCATCATCACCCACAACCCTTAATGAGGAATGAGGAACAAGAGGGAGGAGGGGGAGGAGAACGAGGAGAGGGAAACGGAGGAATATAGAGGTTCCGCTCCTGGGGGTAAGACGCTGGGGCAAGGGGTGAGACGTTTCAGGAGGAGTGCGGATAGGTCTGGAGGAATAGGAGAATCCCAGAGGATTGGGAGGAGTGCGGAGGGTTGAAGAGGCATGGGACGGTTGTGGTAGGTTTGGAAGGAGTGCGGAGGCGTGGGGAGGACTGGGAGGGTTACGGAGGTTTCGGGGGGAGTGCGGATGGGTGGGGAGGAATGAGAGGGTGGAGGAAATCTCTTTCGGGAGGAGTGCGGAAGGGGTGGGGAGGAATGGGACGGTTGTAGGAGGTTTAGGAGGAGTGCGGAGGGATGTGGAAGGATAAAAGGGTTGCAACGGTGTCGGGAGGAGTGCGGAAGGGCGTGGAGGAATGGGAGGGGTCTCTTTCGGGAGGTGTGCGGAGGAGTGGGGAAGAATGGGACGGTTACACAAGGTTTAGGAGGAGTGCGAGGGGATGTGGAGGCATGGGAGGGTTGCGGAAGTTTCGGGAGGAGTGCGGAGGGGTGTGGAGGAATGGGAGGTTTGCGGAGGTGTCGGGAGTGCGGAGGATTGGAGAGACATGGAAGGGCTCCGGAGGTTTCGGGAGGAGTGCGGAGGGATGTGGAGGAATGGGAGGGTTGCGGAGGTTTCGGGAGGAGTGCGGAGGGGTCTGGAGGAATGGGGAAGGTGCGGAGGTTTCGGGTGGAGTGCGGAGGGGTGTGGAATGATAAAAAGGTTCTCCTCTTCGTCGTCCTTCCCCCTCCTTCCTGTGCCGGCACGCGTTTGGCGTGTCTCGTGTTCTCCTTGGCGCATGTTTGGCGCGTCAGCTCTCCCGCGCTCTTGCACGCATTTGGCGTGTCTGCCCACGTGACCAGACGGACGCAAGGCTTAGTGGTGGTGGTGGTGGAAGGTTTCGGGAGGAGTGCGGAGGAATGTGGAGGAATGGGAGGGTTGCGGAGGTTTCGGGAGGAGTGCGGAAGGATGTGAAGGAATGGGAGAGTTGCGGATGTTCGGGAAGAGTGCGGAGGGGTGGAGAGAATGGCAAGATTGCGGAGGTTCCAGGAAGAGTTCGGAGGGGTGTGGAGGACTGGGACGGTTGCGGAAGGTTTGGGAGGAGTGCGGAGGGTGGGGGGGAATGGGACGATTGCGCATGTTCGGGAGGCTTGCGGAAGGGCGGAAAGAATTGGAAGGGCTCCGGAGGTTTCGGGAGGAGTGCGGAGGGATGTGGGGGAATGGAGGGTTGCGGAGGTTTCGGGAGGAATGCGGAGGGGTGTGGAGAAATGGGAGAGTTGCGGATGTTCGGGGAGAGTACGGAAAATGGCAGGATTGCGGAGGTTCTGGGATGAGTGCGGAGGGGCGTGGAGGACTGGGATGGTTGCGGAAGGTTCGGGAGGAGTGCGGAAGGGTGAGGGGGGGGGGCGGTTGCGGAGGTTTCGGGTGGAGTGCGGAAGGGTGTGGAAGAGTTGGAGGGTTCCAGAGTTTTTGGGGAGAATGCGGAGGGGCGTGGAGGAATAAGAGGTTTCGGAGTTTTTTTGGCGGAGTGCGGAGGGGTGCGGACGACTGCAGGGGAGTGGCGAGGACTGGGAAGGAGTAGTGGGGCGTGCGGAGGAATTGGGAAGGAATTAAATCGAATGGGATGCAACGGGGGGCCTCCGGCGTAGACCTCGCCCGAAAGGGCCTCCAAGGAGGCCTCGCGAATATCCACGGGGGCTCCAAAACGACCCCCAGAGAGGCTCCACGCGGGCTGGCAGACGGACCCAGAGGCGACGGCACTGGCAGCGTCGACGATGATGGTCGTAGTCGTGACAAGCCAGAGGGGTCTGCCGAAATTGTCGGGGCGCGGCATGCGGATCCAGCCATCGGGGCCTTCCGTGGAGTTCCCGATGGGGCAACGAGGTGTGGCAACGATGATAATAGCGACGGTGACGATGGCGATGATCGTGCTGATGTCTGCGCGCAGCGACCCCAATCGCACGCGGCAGGATTACTTGGGCTTGAACTTAAGAGCCTCGCTTGTGACGAAGGTCGGGCAACAGCGCGGGCGCGGCGCTAGCTTCGGGGCCGGCGACTTCGGAATCGGCCCACGTGAATCAATGCAGCTTCAGCCGCCAGAGCAGCGCGCCGGCCTGCTCCTGCGGGCGCCGTGACGACTAAGACGAAAGGCCCGCCAGCGCCGTCTCGGGGCAGGTGACAAAAATTGGGGCGGACCCCATGTACACCTTGTGCCCGACGTGCTGGTACTGGGGCATAGTGATGGGCGCCGGCTTGCCCTCCAGCCACAGGAGCTGGATGGACAAGGGGAGGTCCTCATCGATGAACATCCTCTCGTCCAGCACCGCGGCCTTGGCCTTGTCCAAGCCGCGGAGGCGAACTGCCCCCCGCACGGCCTCTCCTGCACCTGCTCACCGCCGAGAAGAGAAGTGACTTTCCCTTTCCGCCGAAGCGTCCAGCCAACGTGACCATCGGGGCCGCCTGGGACCGACTGTGCTTCAGGGTGCGCAAGTCGGGGACGTCGATGCGATTCATCGACGGGCTCTCGCGGGCGCGGTGCAACCAGCAGCCGCCGCAAACGCGAAGCGTCCGCAGGGACTCCTTGAACTGTTGCATGACGGGTTTCGTCGCGTCTTCGAGGAAACTGTCCACGTTCTCCCACACCCAGGCCTTGTCGATGATCTTCTCCAGCACGTGCTCGTTCTTGAACATCCAAGCAACCGCCCTTTGCGAGCAGGACGTCTTGGCGCACGCCATCAACTTACGCACTGCGTGGGGGTCGTCCGGAGAATTCCGGGTTCCAGACCTGGCCCCCGTCGGCCACAGGTTCACTTCCTCGACGCGAGGCCCTGGCTTCCCCTTCTCGCCCTCGACCTGCTCCCGCGCGGCCCTGCGCTTCTCCCGAGCGCGGGCGGTCGTCGGCACTCTCTTCGCCTCGGTCAGCGGCGGGTGCTCCGCGGGCCAAGCCAAGTAGTCAACGTCCAAAGCGCTCCGTGGCTTCTTGGGCGTCGCGTTCGCGCAGTGCCCGACGGCCGACCAGCGCCCGTCGTGGCTGCAGGACCAGTCAGAGGCGAGTTGGTACCTGGTGACCAAGGCCCGCTTCGCGGTCAGGAACTTGCTCTTCTTGCCCAGGTGCAAGGCTACGCGGTAGTGCGCCCGCCGGACGCCTGCCCATGGCGCGTGGTATTCTTTGGATACCACCAACTTCTTGACCCCGACGGGCGCGGCCCCCTGCCCGCGGTGGCTGGCGAGCCGCGCGGGGTCGGCGTCCGGGGCGCCGCGGCAGTCCAGGAAAGCGTCGCGGACCTCCTCCCGCGAGAAAGCCGCTGGCGCTGCGAGACCCTCTTTGTCCGCGTGCGGCAGAGTCACCAAGCGGACCTCCCGCGAGGCGTTCCTGTTCTCCGCGACGACGACCTGCTCGCGGAGCGCCGTCTGCTGTCTCTGCTTCCCCACGAGCCTGCGGCGCTTCTCTGGCCTGTCCACCGCGAGCGCCATCCCCGGGCGCGACCGGGTCAGGGCCGGCCCCCGCCCCGCTGAGCCGACAGGCTACACAGAATAACGCAATGCGGACCGTCGGGGTCTTCGGGGGCATCGTGGACCACCGCCTGGTTGTCAATTGGGGAGCTCGTTGCACCTGGCGTCATCTGCGCATCTGTCGCACTTGGGCGCGCCTCGTTCACCCGGCGCACGTGGCCCACCTGTCGCGCGCAGCGCACCTGTCGCACGCGGCGCGCTTGGCGCGCCCAGCGCCCGCGGCGCCCCCCCTGCGCTTCTGGGCGGGGTCGGCGGATCCTGGCCATGGATGTTGCTCGCGCGGCATTGTTGGACATGTGCAAACATGCGTGAACAACCGCACTGAACCTATAGCGAACCATCAGTGAACCAGCAGAGCAGAGCAGAGGGCCAAACGCCCGGGGGCGCGTCGGCAGGCGCTACTGTAGCGCACTCACGTGTTTCCTCCAAGCACATTCGTCTTGTACAAGCACCTCCCACTGAAGATGTTCGCCTGATAGCCGTCGTACATGCGTCAATAGAAACTTAGCCCATTCCAATCTGGGTCGCCCAGCCTTCCTGACGCAGTGGTCCGCGATGAGTTTCAGAGTGCCGGGGGCGAAAATTGAGTCTCGCAGTGGATCTCCAGGCTCTGCTCTCGCTGCCCTCCCAAACAGAAGAAGCTGTTGCTTGAGAAGGGTACTTGTCAAAGGCTCTTGCCGCGTCCGGGCCCGGATGCTCGCGTTCGATACTCGAGAGAACACGGGGTGCTTGGCCCCGCAGAGGGACCGCAACATCCGGCAATGTGCTCCGTCCAGACGACGCCGTTCTGCCGCGTTCAGACATGCCGTGCTCAGGCTGTAGAGGAGCTTGGGTATGATGATGGCGCTGAACAAGTCGATCATCAGTGAACCAACAGTGAACAAACAATGAACAGTGACCTTCGTTCCCGCGCCCCACGTCGCTCGCGCGGGTCATCCGAGGCGAGGGCGACTGCGGGCCACCCGCCGCCTCGGCCGCTGCGGTCTGCGCCGCGGTCGCCCGCCGCCCTGGCCCGCCGCGAACCGCGCCGCGGCCGCCCGAGGAGACCGCGCGCGCGCTCAATTCCCGCCGCCCTCGGCGAAGTGGCCGCCCTTCGCCTTGACCAGCAAGCCGCGGCGCTTGCGCAGGCTGCCCATGATGCTGTGGATGTACTCAAAAGGCGTCGCCAACGCCGTGCGGCGCAGACGGGCCTGGTTCTGCGCCCGCGTCTCCGTCTTGCTCGCGGGCCCAGTCTTTCCCCTGCCCCCCTCATGCGGTTAGTCAGATAGGCCCGGGAGGCGACCTCGAGCGGCATCAGATCAGAGGGCCGCTTCGAAGCGGCCCCCTGATCGGCAAGTCCAACGTCTGGATGCCAGCGGACTTCTTCGCCGCCGTGCCCGAGCGAGATTTGTAGCCCGTGGGGTCGTTGTCTTCCATGGCGCGGAACTTGCCGCGCACGGAGGGTTGGCCCACTTCGAAGCGGGCTGGAGCGCCCCCGAATACAGTCGCTCCGCGGCTGCGGCATTCCACCTGCCGACCACCTGGTGCCGCGTCAACGCCTTGCCCGCGCCGATGGCGCGCGCGATGGTCACGGGGCCCTCGCCCGAACTCTGCTTCAGAACCTGGGGGCAAGCCAAATCAGAGCGCGCCTTTGGCCACTGACCTGGCGCTGAATGGCCTCGGCGCGGTCTCCGACTTTCGTCGACCCGAGCACCTTAGGGTTGCTCGGCTTGACGTGGCCAACGGAGAAGTCCCGCTTGCACTTCCCGCGCACCCCGCGAACCTTGCACTTTGCCGCCGCCTTCCTGTACTTCGCATTGGGCAACACCTGGAACACCTTGTTGTCCATGCGCGCGTGGACGTACTGCGACCACTGGCTGGGGCTCCGGTGCTTGTGCTCGCGGGCCCACAGCAGGCGCTCCTTCTTGTCCCCGTCCGAAAAGTCAGGCTTCGCGTGCAGCGGGCGGAACTGATAACCATTCTCAGCAAACGCGCGGCGCACTGTCTTGATGTCGCATTTCAACTTCATCTCGGGCTTCAGCATGGCTGCAGTCACTTCCATTGTGCCGCCAAAGGGCTGGAGGAGCTTCTTGTAAGCGCGATGAGCAGCGAGAAACCCTTTGGGGGTGCGGATGGAATGCTTCGGGCGGCCCTTGGGCTTCTTGGTCGCGTTCTCTTTGAACAAGTGCTTCGAGGCTGTGTCCGTGGAGCGGCTCAAACCCGCGGCGATCCTCTTGACGCCCACGCCGCCGTCATGCAAGCGGCGCATTGCGACGTGCTCGTCGGCAAATACACGAGTGAAGGATTTCCGCGACGTTCCCTGGCTGAGGAGACAACGACGGGCGAAATGTGCTCGATCCAGAAAGCGCTGCGGCCATCCTTCCAACGGGGGCATCCTGAAAATGGATGCAGTCCATTGGGCGAAGGCACCCTATATCCCGGATGCCCTTTTCAATCAGTAGCGCCATGGGTTCGAATGGCTTCTGTCCGTGAGAATGGCCAAGATCTGCCCGACATGCGGGCGCAGGTGCGCAAGGGGGATCCATTTCGAGATCCCCCCTCGCTGCTTCTTCGCCGGCTGCCCTCTGGCTGTATCGTTGGCTGCCTGGTTCCTGGTGGCCTGCCTGCTCGGCTGCCTGTTTGCTACCTTGCTGGCTGCCTCGATGGCTGATCGTTGGTTGCTTTGTTGGCTGTCTCGTTGGCTGCCTCATTGGTTGTCTCGTTGGCTGCCTCGCTGGTTGCCTTGCTGGGTGCTGTGTCGGTGGCCTCGTTGGTTGCCTTGCTGGCTGCCCTGTCGACCGCCTCGCTGCCTGGCTGGCTGCCTCGTGGGCTACCTCGTTGGCTGCCTCGTGGGCTACCTCGTTGGCCGCGTCGCTGGCTGCCTCGCCAGTTGCCTCGACGGCTGTTTTTTTGGCTGCCCCGCGGGCTGCCTCGTCGGAGGCCTCGTTGGCCGCCTCGCTGGGTGCCTCGTAGGCTGCCTTGTTGGCTGCCTCGAATGCTGCTTTCATGAAAGCCTACCAGACAACGCCCCCATCAATATCACGAGTGAGCGCCTATCCATCTGCCATGGCGACGATGAAGGGAGTGTGGTAACCCAGGACCACAGGACGGCGAACGAGTGAACCGCATGTGCGGAGAAAAAATAGCAATCATGTGTATGCGCAGACGATATCACCCTGGGTAGGAAAAACCGACCTGCTCGCAGCCCAAGAAACGATGGGGCCTCGGAGGCCTCAGGATGGCTCAAGGCAGCCCTCCACAGGACTGTCTCCAGCTTTCGATAGTGCACTCAATGTCTGTTGTGGACGGATGGACGACAGCAACATGTAACCCAGGGCAAGCAAAATCGAATTTCCTGCAGCTCCGGGGATCCATGGGGCCTCCGAGGCCTCCAGGACGGCCCAAGGCAGCCCTCCACAGGACCGTCTCCTTCCATCCCTCTTCTGGCCACCTCCGATCCCCTCCCCCCTCCCCTCCCCGTTCCCTTCCCCTCCCCTCCCGTCCTCCCCATGCCCTCACCTTGCCCTCCCATCGCCTCCTCTTCCCTGCCTCCTCTGATTCACTCCTCCAGCACCTGCTTCGAAATCCTCCACGCTCCACCGTTTTTATCCTCCTCCCCACCACCTCTCATCCTCATCCTTTTCATCATCCTGTCTTTCACTGCTGTTCCTAGTCTTCCGCATCCTCATCCTCACCCCCATCCTCCTCTCCTCCTTATCCTGATCCTTATCCTCCTCATCCTTCGCTTTCTCCTCCACCTTCTCCCCAAAATCATGAGATCTTGGATTTATGAGGGGTCGCTTTGAGCAATCTGCGAAACTACAAATACCCTGCTTGCCATGAACAGTAGATGGACAATCGATTCGAACCCTTACACATTCGAGGGAGATTATAATTCACCCCCGCGCCCCCGACATCAATGTTGATCTCAGTAAAGCCGGTGCTTTGGGGTTCGAATATTTGTGTCCACTCACGCCCCCCCCCCCGTCGCCACGCCATCTATATTAATTTCGGGGGGTCTGGGGGGATCTTGGGCCACAAGGTTCGAATATCATGTCCATGTACGGGATGACTGCGTGAGCAGTGGGGTGGACAACTCACTGCGAACAGACATTAACTGCAACACATCGACTGCTACACAATTTTTGGACAACATAGAGTGCAGAGCATATATTGGACCACGCAGTTTGCACAACATATTTTGCGACTCTTCTGCTGGGGGTCCAGCCTGGCTAACACAAAGGCAAACATCAAACCATACATCGATAAATGCATACATAAGCAATGACTACATACCGTAGCGCCCCGCAGTTGCGGATAAGAGTGAGGGGGCGGCGGGGATGTCTGCAGTCTGCGAGGCTCTGAAGAAGCCCGCCACAGGCGCAAATATTTCCAAGTTGTACAACGAGCCCGCCGCAGGCGACGATTTTCTGTTAAACCAATTTAGGTGGGTCGCGGGTTGGATCGCAGGTGGGTCGCGGGTGGGTCGACGGTGGGTCCCGGGTGGGTTGCGGGCCAGGTCGCGGGTGGGTCGCGGGTGGGTCGCAAGCGGGTAGCGGGCCGGGTCGCGGGGGGAACGACGACAACAAACAGCAACAACAACAACGCAAGGACACCCTCTCAGGCCACCCCGGCGGGGCCCGTGGCGGTGTCCTCGCCCCCGGGGCGAGCGCACTCCCCCAGGCCACACGTTGCAGTTGTTGCCCCGGAGGGGGGGGGGGGGGAGCAACGCGCAACACCTCTGTCATACGCTAAGGTAAATCTATATGTGTTTCCGAATCTCCGTGGGCTCCCTTACTGTTCCCCACGCACTCCTGTGTCCGACAACCGACCGCGCGCCAGCGAGGCCAGCTCCTCCTAAGGATCCTATAGGATCCCTATAGGGTTCCGATGGAATCATGTAGGACCCTGTAAGGATCCTATAGAATCCCTATAGGGTTCCTATGGCATCGTGCAGGACCCTGTAAGGATTCTATAGGATCCCGATAGGGTTCCGACGGAATCCTGCAGGACCCTGTAAGGATCCTATAAGATCCTATAGCGTTCCTATGGAATCGTGCAGGACCCTGTAAGGATCCTATAGGATCCCTATAGGGTTCCGATGGGATCCTGTAGGACCCTGTAGGGACCCTATAGGATCCCTACAAGGTTCCTATGGAATCGTGCAGGACCCTGTAGGGATCCTATAGGACCCCTACAGGGTTCTGGTGGAATCCTGTATGACCCTGTAGGGATCCTATAGGATCCCTATAGAGGTTCCGATGGAATCGTGCAGGACCCTGTAAGGATTCTATAGGATCCCTACAGGGTTACAATGGAATCCTGTAGGACCCTGTAGGGATCCTATAGGATCCCCCTCGGATTCCTATAGGGTTGCTATGGGATCCTGTAGTAGTACAATTGTATTCCTATAGGATTTCTGTCGGATTGCTATAGGGTTGCTAGATTCCATCGGATTCCACTAGTATTACAATCGGATTCCTAAGGAATCCTGTAGGACCCTGTAGGGATCCTATGGGATTCCTGTAGGGTTCCTATGGAATCCTGTAGGACACTGAAGGAATCCTATTGAGGTCTTATAAGATCACAAAAAGGACCCCAGTAGGATTTATTGGAATCCTATGTAATCCTGTAGGACCCTGGTAGGGATCCTATAAGACCCCAACCGGATTCCTATAGGAATCTTATGGAATCCTGTAGGACCCTGTAGGGATCCTATCGGATTCCAATAGGAGCCCCACAGGATTTCAATGGAACTCCTATGGAATCCTGCAGGGCCCTGTTGGGACCCTATAAGATTTCAACTCGGATTCCCATAGGATTCCTATGGAATCCTGTAGGACCCTGTAAGGACCCTATGGGTTCCCAATGAGATTCCAATAGGTTTCCTATGGCATCCTGAAGAACCCGGTAGGGATCCTATACGATTTCCAAAAGGCTTCCAATAGTATTCCTATGGAATCCTGTAGGACCCTGCAGGGGCCCTAGAGGTTTTCTCAAGGCTTCCCGAAGGATTATCCTGGAATCCTGTGGGGGTCCTATAAGATTCCAACAGGATTTCTATGAGGTTCCTATGGAGGCCTGTAGGACCCTGTAGGGATCCCATAAGAATTCCTATAGGAGACCTATGGAATCCTGTAAGATTCTGTGGGGATCCTGTAATATTCAAAACAAATCGGCAGAATCCTGTAGGACCCTGTAGGGATCCGATAGGAATCCTGTAGGATTCCTATAGGAATCCGATGGAATCCTGTAGGACCCTGACGACGACGACAATCCCATCATAATCATCATCGTCATCATCATGATGATCATCATCGTCCGCCTCTTCGCGCTCATCGTCCTCATCATCGCCATCCTGCGCGTCATCATCATCATCATCATCATCATCATCATCATCATCACCATCACCATCACCATCACCATCACCATCACCATCACCATCACCATCACCATCATCATCATCATCATCATCATCATCATCATCATCGCCACCAGAATCATCATCAGCATCCCTGTGGAGCTCCCTGTGGGGCCAGGGCCACGATCCGTGAGAGGGGTGCGCCGAAACCAAGCTTCGGTGGAGCTCCCCGTGGGGCCAGGGCCACGATCCTCGAGAGGGGTGTGGTGTGCCGAAATGAAGCCTCGGTGGAGCTCCCTGTGGGGCCAGGGCCACGATCCGTGAGAGGGGTGCGCCGAAATCAAGTTTCGGTGGAGCTCCATGAGCCACGATCCTCGAAAGGGGTGTGCCGAAATCAAACCTCGGTGGAGCTCCCTGTGGGGCCAGGGCCACGATCCGTGAGAGGGGTGCGCCCTTTGGGGCCTGTATGGGACTCCGCAGCAGTCCCGAAAGGACCTTCCGAGCAACGCCGCCGGGCCCTGCAGACCCCCGCAGCGGCCTGGCGAGGCCTCGTGGCGTTGCTCGGACCAGGGGCCGTGCAGGGCCCGTGCGTGGCCCCGTGGTGTTGCTCGGGGGGGGGGGTCGAGCAACGGGCCTCCAGTAGTGTCCTCGCGAACAACAACAACAGCAGCAACAACAACAACAAAAACAACAACAACACCAAGAACAACACCAATCACTGTAAGACTGTTCGCCCTTATCTGCTCGAGTGTCCATTAACGCGTATTTCCCAAACCCTCGATACCCGCCCTCGTCGTCTTCGATCGAACCCCTTTCAAGGGGTAGACCTTTCTTCCCTACAGACCGGGCCCTGGCAAACGGCGGGGCGGCCACGACCGTCGGCCTGACCAGCGGCAGCGCTGATCGGCGGGGCGGGCGCGGACCGTCGACCCGACCCCAAAAGGGACGGACAGGGGACCGACCACGACGACGACGACGTCGACGACGACGGCGACGACGACGACGGCGACGGCGACGACGACGACGACGGCGACGACGAGCGAAAGCGAGAGACAGCAGGGCCACGAGGACACGAAGTAGGCCACGAAGGGCGACATCGGGGACACGAAGGGAATGCGTATGGGGCCACGAAGAGCGCGAACGAGCGGGGGGCCACGAAGGGTAGATAATGCGGGGCCACAGCAGGCAACGATGGGGCCATTGAGGGTAGCAACTGTGCCACGTAGGACACTGAGGGTGCCACAGACGGCGACAGCGGGGCCACGATGGGCATGCACATGGGGCCAAAACGGGCGCGAATGAGCGGGGGCCACGAAGGACATACGTATATTGGGCCGCGGAGGGCAAAAACGGGGCCACTGAGGGCAGCAACGGGGCCACGAAGGGCAGCGAGGGGGCCACGCAGGGCGACAGCGGGGCCACGCAGGGCATGCATATGGGGCCACAACGGGCGCAAACGAGCGGGGGCCACGAGGGGCATACATATATGGGGCCACGAAGGGCAGCGAGGGGACCACGAAGGGATGCAACGGGGCCACGAAGGGCAGCGATGGGGCCACGAAGGGCTGCAACGGGGTCACGAAGGGCAGCGAGGGCGAAGGGCTGCAACGGGGCCACGAAACAAAGCGAGGGGGCCACGAAGGGCAGCGAGAAGGCCACGTAGGGCATGCACATGGGGCCGCAACGGGCGCGAACGAGCGGGGGCCACGAATGGCATACGTATACCGGGCCGCGGAGGGCAAGGACGGACGGGGCCACTGAGGGCTGCAACGGGGCCACGAAAAGCAGCGAGGGGACCACGAAGGGCTGCAACTGGGCCACGAAAGACAGTGAGGAGGGGCTGCAACGGGGCCACGAAGGGCAGCGAGATCCCGATTCCTAGGCAATCTGTGGGGGAGTCCTAAGTGTGAGCGCGACTCCTGGGTGCCTGGGTGTCGGGAGCGCGGAGCTTGAGTAAATTGCAAAGAATTCCAACGCAAGGGCGCTATTCTTCAGTAAATTGCAAGCAAGTCTCCAGCGAGAGCGCGACTCCAGAGCGCCGGGAGAGCGATTCCTGAATAAGTTGTAAGGAAGTCCCAAGCGACAGCGCGATTCCTGAATCAAATGCGTGGAAGTCTCGCGCGGGAGAGGGGGTCCTGGCCAAATTGTGAGGAAGTCTCAAGCGGGAGCCGTTGTTGTTGTAACCCGGGGGCCAGGGGCGCTCAGTTTGAGCCCCAAGACTTTCCCTGATAAAAAACCGGGTGCGAGCGTCGAGCGGCACACTTTAATTGAGAAAAAAACAGTATGCACCGGTGCGGGGGATCAACAATAATGATTCTTCAGATATGAGAGTTCAAAAACAACAATCATTTTAAGACTAAGCGCCCTGCTCGAGTGTCCATTAACGCGTATTTCCCAAACCCTCGATACACGCCCTCTTCGTCTTCGATCGACCCCCTTTTGGGGGGTAGACCTTTCTTCCCTGCAGGCCGGGCCCCGGCAAGCGGCGGGGCGGCCGTGGACCGTCGGCCTGGCCAGCGGCAGCGCTGATCGGCGGGGCGGGCGCGGACCGTCGATCAAGGGACGGACAGGGGACCGACCACGACGACGACGACGACGATGGCGACGACGTCGACGACGACGGCGACGACGACGGCGACGACGACGAGCGAAAGCGAGAGCGAGGGAGAACGACAGCAGGGCCACTAGGACACGAAGTAGGCCACGAAGGGCGACATCGGGGACACGAAGGGAATGCGTATGGGGCCACGAAGAGCGCGAACGAGCGGGGGCCACGAAGGGTAGATAATGCGGGGCCACAGAAGGCAACAAGGGGGCATTGAGGGTAGCAACTGGGCCACGTAGGACAGTGAGGGGGCCACAGACGGCGACAGCGGGGCCACGATGGGCATGCACATGGGGCCACAACGGGCGCGAACGAGCGGGGGCCACGAAGGGCATACGTATATTAGGCCGCGGAGGGCAAGGACGTGGCCACTGAGGGCAGCAACGGGGCCACGAAGGGCAGCGAGGGGGCCACGCAGGGCGACAGCGGGGCCACGAAGGGCATGCGTATGGGGCCACCACGGGCGCGAACGAGCGGGGGCCACGAAGGGCATACATATATGGGGCCACGAAGGGCAGCGAGGGGGCCACGAAGGGCTGCAACGGGGCCACGAAACAAAGCGAGGGGACCACGAAGGGCTGCAACGGGGCCACGAAGGGCACGGGGCCACGAAGGGCAGCGAGGGGGCCACGAAGGGCTGCAACGGGGCCACGAAACAAAGCGAGGGGGCCACGAAGGGCTGCAACGGGGCCACGAAAGGCAGCGAGGAGGCCACGAGGGGCTGCAACGGGGCCACGAAGGGCAGCGAGGGGACCACGAAGGGCTGCAACGGGGCCGCGAAACAAAGCGAGGGGGCCACAAAGGGCTGCAACGGGGCCACGAAGGGCAGCGAGATCCCGATTCCTAGGCAATCTGTGAGGGAGTCCTAAGCGTGAGCGCGACTCCTGGGTGCCTGGGTGTCGGGAGCGCGGCGCACGAATAAATTGCGAAAAATTCCAACGCAAGGACGCTATTCTTCAATAAATTGCAAGCAAGTCTCCAGCGAGAGCGCGACTCCAGAGCGCCGGGAGAGCGATTCCTGAACAAGTTGTAAGGAAGTCCCAAGCGAGAGCGCGATTCCTGAATCAAATGCGCAGAAGTCTCGCGCGGGAGAGGGGGTCCTGGCCAAATTGTGAGGAAGTCTCAGGTGGGAGCCGTTGTTGTTGTAACCCAGGGGCCAGGGGCACAGTTTGAGCATCAAGACTTCCCCTGTCAAAAAACAGGGTGCGAGCGTCGAGGGGTACACTTTGATTGAGAATAAACAATATGCACCGATGGGGGGATCAACAATAATTATTCTTCAGAAATGAGAATTCAACAACAACAACAACAACAGCACCAACACAAATAACAACACCACCACCACCACCACCACCAACAACAACAACAACAACAAAACCAACAGCAACAGCAACAACAACAACAACAACAACAACAACAACAACGCAACAAACATAATCCTCACCACGGATCCGCACTTAAGCCACGCACCCAGGGACAATGAATGACCGCTCAGCCATCTCACTCTGACATGCTTGCATACATAGATATATGTAGCTTTGTGTATGTGAAATGTGCATATATGACATGTATCCGCCACCATGCCCTGAGACACGAGTCGGAGTGTCCTCAGGTCCCTAGGAATTCGCTGTGTAACATACTGTTGATTTGGGTGTCCCAAAACCGTGTGGTGACAGACCCGGCGGCGACCTCGAAATCCGCAAAGACCTCACCGCATGGTCCGTCACCACACGGTTTTGGGACCCTGGAGGCCCCAACCGCCCGAGACATCCTCGGAAAACGACCCAAGTCCCAAAACCGTGCGGTGACCACGAACCCCCACCGACTCACCACACGGTGTGGTCACCACCCCGTTTGGGGGCCCCCGATAGATACTCTGTCAAGGCCCCATTGCCCGGAATTCTGCGCTCTCCTGGGCGCTCCCGGGGACTCCCCGGGAAAGTCTCCCAGAGGCCAGCAGCGCGCTCGGGACGTGCACGCCCCAACATGGCCCGAGACGGCCCCGACGACCGCTCTGGAGCCCCCTGGGGCGCCTCCTGGGCCCTTCATTGCGAGCCCCGGGGGGGCGGCCCACGAGTAGACGAGCGCGTTCCACGACTCTCGCAAAGCACCTGCTCGCCAATGGCCCGGATCCCCCGCGGAGGCCCTGCGATCGGTTGCAATCAGAGCGGACGTGTGTGTGTGTGTGTGTGTGTGTGTGTGTGTGTGTTTCGGGCGTTTGCGAGTAGGCACTCTGCGAGCAGTGGAACGCGCTCGGTGAAAGAGGCCAAAATCGTCAGACCATTTTTTCCTCCACGGTCTCCACACGGCGGGCAGCGAGCCCGCGGGGGGGCACGCGCCGCCGCTTCCGCGCCGCGGCAGCATGCGGCAGCACCCCGGGCAGGCCCACCCGGCGCGCGGGGCGGCAGCGTGGCGAGCCCTCCCCGGACACGTCCCGAGCACGGGGCGGCCACGAGGCGGCGACGACCTCGCCGGACCCGCCCGGCGCACGAGGGCGACCCGGAGGGGGCCACGGGCGGCAGCGCGGCGACGGCCTCGCCAGGGCCACCCGGCGCACGAGGCGGCCACGAGGCGGCCACGGGTGGCGGCGCAGAGAATCCTCGCCGGACCCGTCCAAGTCCAGAGGGACTCGAGTAAGAACCCCAGAGTCGCACTGTTTGGGGAGAACAAAGGAACAAAGGGAACCGTGTAACACGTAAGTTGCAGCATTCGCGTGGTCCGCATCGGGAGTGCATGAGCCGTCTGTTTGGGGTCCACGCTGGCAAACCGAGAATTTCAACCCGAGGGCTGCGGCAGCTTCATGCTGCATGGATTTCGATGCTACGCTGGTGCGGTGCCAGGATTTGCCGCAGGCACCTGGATTGTGTTGGCAACCTGAGGCAATGTACCACCCGTCCTGGATTTGCTCGCTCAGATTGAGGGACTTCATCTTTTCATAGTCTGTCGTCCCATTCGTAATCTGCGAGGCGTAGCCCAGCTCGGCGGAGGCGTTCATCACGTCGGCGACGTCCGAGAAGCAGCACGCCTTGGTGCCCGGGAGCAGGAGAGACTCCCACAGACCGAGCAGGATGCCCGCGGCGTCCGCCTGTGCGTACGCGACGGGGAGCGCGCGCAGCCCAGGGTCAGCGATATAGCCCGCGAAGGAGGCGCTGGCCACGAAGTCGCGGAGCCGCCGGTTCTCCCCCGAGGACGTCCACACCTCCCGGCAGGAGGAGCCCACACACCGACGCTGTGCCTGGCCAGGGCCAGTCTAGACCCTGGCATGGTGTACAGGCCCCTCTGGACTCCCCTGACTCTGGATCCGCCGTTCTCTTCGGGCGAGTTCGTACTTTTCGTGCTCCTTTCATGCCTGTTTCCGCCGTACTCTGCCGCCGCTGTTTCCGCCATACGTTTGCGGAAATGTCCGCCCTACTCTTCGCAAAGTGCGTTGCACTACTCGCAAAGCAATTACTCGCAAGTGGCCTGGATCCGCCGCGGGGGATTCGCGACCCAATACATCGAAGCAAACATGTGTGCTTCGGACGTTTGCGAGTCGGAACTTTGCGAGTAGTGGAACGCGTTCGGTGAATTCTGATTGTACCGCGGCGGAAATTTCCGTCCTACTTTTTCGCATCTTGTGGGGTGCATGTCCGACACAATCTGATGTAGGAGAATCAATCAAAATGCGGCGGACCAGGCGGCCCCAAGAGGATCCGAAGAGGCCCCAGGAGGCCCACAAGAGATCCCCAGGAAGCCCGAAGAGGCCCCCAAGAGGCTCCCAAGAGGCCCCCGAGGGGCTCCCAAGAGGCCTCAGAATTCCTCCCCAGAGGCCCCCGAGAGCCTTCCGAAGAAAACTTCAAGGAGCATCGTCAGAGTCGCCGTCGCCGCCGCCGTTGTCGTCGTCGTCGTCGTCGTCGTCTCCCTTCAGGGTCGGCGGCGCCGGCCGTAAGGCCGTCGCAATCAATAGAAATACAGTAGGGGCCCTTCCACAAGAAGCCTTCTACAAGAAACCCAACCCTGAGACCCCAGGACGTCCATTGATTTTTGGTGTGGCAAGGTCACGCTTTCCATAGCAAAACCATCGAGACCCAAGAAACCCAAGACACCATGAAGGCAAGCAAGGTGCTTCTTCGCCTGGGTCTCCACCGTCATGGGAGGGGGACAATCGATGGGGGGGAGAGGGAGGTGCCTTGGCCCCAAAGGCCCTCTTCTGGGGCCCCAAGGGGCATCTTTTCTGCAGTCCTCGCTGCCCCCCCCCATTTATCGCCCCCGCCCCCCACTACTGGACAAGCGCGTTCCACTGCTCGCAAAGTAACTACTCTCGCAAATGGCCTGGATCCGCCACGGGGTATTTACCATAAGTTGCGCCGAGGCAACAAACTATTTTTCGGGCGTTTGCGAGTAGGCACTTTTGCGAGTCGTGGAGCGCGCTCGGTGAGCTGCGCGCCCCCCAAGCCTCCGTCGCCGCCCAGATCGCTGGGGGGTCCGCGAACTTCCCCGCAATCTGCTCCCCAATGGAGCAGACGAGCGAGTCGTCGGAGCAGCCGCCGACCTCGCGCAGGAGGTCTCTCGAGGTCCCCCCGCGGTGTTCGGTGACGTTGATGCCCATGATCTCGGTGAGCAGGAGGCTGATGACGTAGAAGGGGACCTGCGCCGACATCCACCTTCCCCGCGCGATGGGCAGCTGGTACAGGGTCCCCTTGTACTCCACCATTTTCACATCCTTCGAGGCGACCGCGGAATGACGGGCAGCGGAGAGGCATACACTCTCCGCGGAGCGAGCAGAGATCACGGCCAGCCAAGCAACGAGCCTCATTCGGCCCGCGCGGCCACCGGGCAGCCACGACGGCTCGCTGAGAAGCCAGGGATCCGCGAGAGAAGCCACGTCTCGGCCGAAGCTTGAGCCCGACTGGCTGAGGCAGCTTGTGCCTCGTCGAACGCCCGGAGCTGTAGATGGTTCAGTGGCTATGGCTTCTTCACCTTTGCGGGCTCCCGCTTCTCGGGCCCCCGCTGTCCCAGAAGAGAGCCCCAACATCTCATTAAGGTGGCCAAGGGAGCTGCAGGAGGGCCCAACGTGCTCCGAGTCGGGCTCACTTTTGTGCACCTGTGCGCGCCCCGATCGGATGACGGAGAAAGGTGTCACCCAGAGGCGTCCAAATGGCCTCCGGGAGGTCCCCATGGATCCTCGTGAGCCAAGGAAGCCTCCGGGCCCCTCCCCGGCGGCCCCTTTGAAAACTTCCGGGGCGCACCCAGAACCCCCCCAAGAGCCTGCACGTGTTGCTGGGTGTTGTTCTGCGCTGACTTCGCAAAGCAGTGGTGCCCCCATGGAGCGTCGTGCTGTCGATGTGCCCAGCGACCGTCTGGAAGCGACGAGGGAGTCAAACAACCGGCGGGGCACCGCCGCCTCCCCCCCAACAAAAAAATACCCGTCGAACGCAACAGAACTGCACACGTATGTTTCCCGTCGAGCGCTCGGGGTCCACATGCAAGCCACGACCCGAACCTCTCGGTACATTGGCGGCGCGCACACAGGGGTAGAGGGCGGAGGGAGGGCTTCTTTGAAGGGGAACTGGGACACACAAATGAATATATAAAAATAACCCGATTCCCCATACATTTTCCATATTTTCTTGGTTTCTGTCTTCCCCCCCACTTCCCATACTTTCCCATATTTTCTGGGGAATCGACGATTAATTGTCTGTGTTTTTCCCCTCCTGATTCTTAGGAGGAGGCCGCTCCTAAGAGGGCGCGGCCCGCCATTCTGAGAAGCCAAGGGGCGCTCCGCTTCTTAGAAGCACCCCGGCAGCTCCTCAGAAGCACCCTGGCAGCTCCTCAGAAGCAGTCCATAGAAGGAGAAACAGCAAAAAAAACATAGAGCGCTCCGCGCGGATTTCTTGGACCTGCGCTGGACGCCCTCCCTGGCGCGCGGAGCGCGCCAGGGGCGGTGCCCGAGGCGCCGCCGGGGGGGCCAAGCGCGGATCCAAGAAATCCGCGCGTATGTTTATGCCGTTTGTCTTCTTCGAGTCCAGCCGCTCCTTAGAACTACTAGTACGCCAGGAACCGTTCCCAGCAAGCAGCCAGCACCTTCTTAGAATGGGGGGCCTCGCCTTACCCCTTCTGCGAGTGGCTGGGTAAAGAAGGCTGGGGCAGCGGAGTGGCGCGCAAGCGCAAGGCCCTGCCAGTCAGTGATGAAGAGGCCCTGGGACACGCAAATAAATAGACATAAATACCAGGATTCTCAATTTTTTCCTATATTTTCTGGACTTTCCTGTTCCCCACTTCCCGTATTTTCCCATATTTTCCCGGGGATCGACGACTACTCGTGTCTGTGTTTTTCCCCTCCGGAAGCGAAGGAGGCAGCAGCACCAGCCGAGGAGGACTCCCAGGGACGTGGGAGAAACGCGCCGGCGCACTGGCTGCCCCGCGCGCTCTTCTTGCCGCCCCTCCCTCGGAGCGCCCTCGCCCGCGAGGAGCCACGAGCGCTCTCTGTCGGGCCCTGGTCGGGGCAGCGGCCGCTCTGTGGATGCAGCTGGCCGGCTGCGGGCGCCCGACCGGCCCGCCGCGCTCAAAAAGTTTCTCCCCGTGAGCCGCCGCTGCGCTCCCGCCGGGGCCTGGCCGGCACTGTGGTGGCCGCGCTGCGGGCGCGCGCGCGTGCTAAGTCGGGCGTGTCCCTCTACAGGAGGAGCATTCATAACACTAGTCTAAAGATGGTCTGGGGGCAAGTTTTGCTCATGCTTGGTCATTCTTGAATGTTTTTTGAATATTTTTGATTTTTCGTCCCGCATCCGCCTCTAGGAGGACATGCCCGAACTAAGAGTGAGCATCGTCTAACCGATCCGGGTCCTCGCTGGCGTGGCCGTGGCCCCGCCGGCCGACTTGGCCCCCCCCAATCCGGTGGGGAGGTGTGGTGCTCCCTTCTGGCTGCTTCGCGGGGCCCAGCCCCGCCTGGGCGGGGGAACCTGCTGGGGCTGAGACGACGTGGCCCCCATGGCGATGGGGATCGCTTGGACGATGCTGAGCGAGGCAGGCCTCGCGGCCGGGCCCGGCCGGCGGCCGCGCGGCTGCCGCCGTCCCGTCGGGCGTCGCGGCGCGCGGCCCGTCGGCGTCAGCGCTCGCTGGCCGAGTGCCCGAAGGGCCGCGCCCACGTCGGCCGCCGGGCCCCCGGCGAGGCTCTCGGGGCAGCCTCGCTCGCAGCCTCCTTGGCGGGGGAAGCCAGCGGCGCCGGGTGCTCGTGGTCCTGGTGCACCCTGTGCACCGAGGGCCTGCCCTTGTCGCTGAACGTGATGGACTCCGCGGCCAGCTCCCAGAAGGTGCCTCGCGGCGCACCGTGCCGCGCTGCGACCCAGAGCGCCTGGGTGGAGTTCACCATCCACATGGATGCTGCCTTTTGAGCAGGGACCGACCGTCCCGGCATTCCTGTAGTCCTACCATGAAATGTTCTTAGAACCCAAACATGTTCTAAGAACAAAACAATGTTCTTAGAACATAAACCCGATGTGCTAAAACCAAGCAGTCCCGGCCAGAAATGTTCTAAGAACATTTCGTGCAGATCACAAACGGTTCTCAGAACATTGTTTGGTGGAGCTATAGGGGAGCCAGGACGCTTCCTCACTGCTTGAGCCTTGCCGCCCGCGCCCGAGTCGTCCCACAGCTTCACGGGCGCCTTCTCCGCGGGCCGGCAGAAGCTCTTGGCGACGCACCGCACGGACTCCAGCGGGGGCGGCCCCTCCGAGGTCGTGGCGACCATGCCCAGCTCGACGAAGGCGTCGCTGGGCGGCACGGGGCGCCAGATGTGGAGGGGCGTCCTGCCCTTCTTGCTCCACACCTGCTTGAACCCGCTGGGGTAGGGGCAGTAGTGGTCGGCTACAGCCTGCAGCACTTTGGCGGAGTCAGAACTCACAAAAGTGGTGTTGAACTGCACCTGCAGTATCTTCCTCTGCCCGACGACGCCCATGGAGAGTCCCTCGCCGGCACTGCCGAACCCCTCGTTGGCGTAATGGCCAACGCTTAGTCGGAGTCTCTTGACGTACACCACGCCGCTCTCCAACGACTCCGCCTTCCAAACACTGACGTGCTTCCGCGCCTGCGTCCCCTCGGAGCGCCACACCGGCTGGTCGGGGGTTGCAAAAGGTGCCCCTGGCCCAGGGTGCCCCCAGCCTTTCGCTCCACTCTGGAGCCCCTGGGGCCCTCTGGGCCTCGCGAGGGGTGCTCTGGGTGCCTTTTGGGGGGGCCTCCCTGGCAACCCCAGGGGGGGGGGCAGCTTGGGCCAGGGGCATCTCTCTGGCAGCACCCGAGATGGGTCCCGAAAGAAGCGTGCGTGACCTTGTGGATGCCATGACAACGGACACCCTGACAGTGCTATCATTGCACTAAGCCTGTTTTTTATTATTATAATATGTCGGATCATGTTCTAAGCATGCTGGGAGGATACATCTTACATGCTCAAGACGTATCTAAAACATGTTTTAGAAATCTGGAAATTACCTAGCATCATGCTTCCTCTTATGTTGTTCCCGTCCTACTTCTTAAGGACCGCATCCCAGAAATGATTTCGAGCACCCAGAAGAGTGTCAAAACAGTATCGAACCAGTGTCGAAACAGTGTCTCCCAGGGCCCGGCAAGTGAACACCCTTGGGTCTCGGTACTTTTTTGAGCGCTCGAAATTCGTCCTGATGATCAAGGCTACCATGATCGTCTTCCCCCCTTGCTCGTCGCCAAGTGCATGAAGAGGTGGAGGAGGAGGAGGAGGAGGAGGAGGGAGGAGGAGGAGGGAGGGAGGGGGAGGGAAGGAGGGAGGAGGAGGAGGAGGAGGAGGAGGAGGAGGAGGAGGAGGAGGAGGAGGAGGAGGAGGAATGCTTCCTCTCCACCGATCGTCTTCCACGGGCGTGACCAGCTCGATCGAGATGCGCTTCAGGTCCGACAGCGGCACGGAGCTCTCGTCGGGCGGCGCCACCGGGTCGGCGTGCGCCGCGCCGCCGGGCCCGTGCGCGCCCTGGACCTCGAAGCCCTGGGCCCACTGCGCGGCGGTGACGAGGCCCTGGCCCGCCTCGTGGTCGAGGGCCTCGAAGAGGCGCAGCATCAGCTGCCGCGGCATGCCCAGGCTCAGAGCCAGGGGGACGCCCAGGTCGCGCGCGCTCACCTCAACGACTGAGGCCCTGGGACACGCACACAAACACACAAATAGATGGGCACAACTCCCAGGACTCCCCATCTCTTCCCAGCCACGTCCTACATTTTCCCATATTTCCTTGGGGGTCGACGATTAATTGCGTCTGTGTTTTTTCCCCTCCTGACACCTGGCCATCGCCATCCTGGTCGAGCCGCCTGAAGGCATCCTCCGGACTGAGGCCAGCATCTAGCATCCGGGCATACGCCTCCCGGATCGCGCTCTTGCGTTGCAACTTCGCGTGCTCCTTCTCGCTGTCGAAGAGGCGGGCCACCGGAACGCCGTGCAGTGGCAGCTTCAGCGGCGGTCTGCGCCGAACCGAGTACGAGGCTAAGAAAAAGTCCCGCAGCGCCTCTGGCTTGCACTTGGCGCCGTGCAGCGACCGCCGCAGCGACTCGAGGTCGGCGTGTGCGAAGTGCGTCTCGGCACCCAGGAAGAGGGCGCACTGCGACACGACGCCCTGGTGCCAGTGGAAAGGCGCCTCCTGCCTATTAGGGAGCAGAAAACCCCGACGCGCGACGCTGGTTCGCAAGCGCACTCCAAGAAGGAGTCGAACAGGGCAGGGCGGTTTAGCGAACGCCCAGGGCCGTTTTGCAAACGCCAACTCTCGAGTCTGGGTGGTCTTGAAGGGGCCCAAGGACACACATAAATACACACAAATAACATGATTCCCTATATTTTCCGCATTTTTGGGATTTCCGTCTTCCCCCCCACTTCACATAGATCCCCATATTTTTTAAGGAATCGACAATTACTTGTGCCTGTGTGTTTGTTCCCCTCCTGAGTTTTCCCTCCCTGGACTGCCAGCCCTGGGACTGGTCGAGCACGCTCAGGCTCGCCGGGTCCCTGCGCAGCAGGCGGAGCGCCGCGCGGCAGCGCGGGTGCTCCGGTAGGAGGTCCTGCCCGCCCCTCTGGTGCAGCGCCATGCGCACGGCCTCGGCCTCGGCGAGGGTGAGGAGGGCATAGTGCCTTCCGGGCTGCACCTCGAGCACGTGAGATTGCCAGAGTCCCTTGAGGACGTCGTCCGCAGTGGGCACGCCGGTGCCGCATGCGCCCTCCACCGCCCGGAAGACCCTGGCGACCTCGGCCTCGCTGGCGTCGATGCCGAGGCACGACAGGAGCACGCCGATATCCTCCTCGTTGAAGCCACGCTCTGAGATGCCGAGGGCGTCCAGCGTCGTCTGCAGGCGAGTTGCAGACCTGGCGGCCTCTGCAACCCCCCAGCCGGTGGTGCCGTTGCTCGCGCCACCGCCGTGCAGCGCCTCTTGGGTCGGGTATGTCCTTCTACACGCGGGTTTTGGAAGATAATCTAAAGATAGTCAAAAACCATCTAACATAGGAGCAACATATGAAAAAGCAGCAGCAACAAGATCGCCACCAACTTGTTTTTAGAACTACTCTGGAATATTCTTCCCGTAGAAAGACATGCCCGACTTCAGGCGCCTCGGCGTCTGGTATCCACTCGAGGACCACGGCGGGCGTCCTGAGGCGGCGCTGCCCTCTGGCGCCCGGCCGGTGGAAGTTGCGGGACACGTGCAGGCCCTGGCATGAGGAGCCGAATTCTGTGCACCGACGTTTTTCTGGCACTGTACTGACGTTTGCACAAGAAAGCGGATCCTGGTGTATACAAGATCCTGGTGTATTCCCCAATCAGTGCTTGCATCGGCGAAAATGTCCCGCCGATTTTGGTAGCGGGCTGGGTTCCCAAGTTCCCGGTTCCGGGTTCCCAAGATCCCGGTTATTGGTTCCGGGCCGATTTCGGTGGGTTCTGGGTTCCCAGGCTCCCGGGTTCCCGGTCGATCTCCTCAGCGACAACCATCCACTGATTGGGGTTTCTCTCTGGTGCAATTCGCTTTTCGTTGTTTCCCCAGGATGCGGGGAACGCAAGTGTACACCACACCACCCCGACGTCGCCCCCGGCCCCCCAAAAAGCCATGGGATGGAGAGGCAGCCCGCCACTGGCAAGGTCCCCGTTCAGGCTTCCGACCTGTGGGAAACTTGCCGACAGCTCCTCGCCGCCCTTCGGCGGGGACAGCGAGAACTGCGAGGCGGGGTAGAAGGGGTCGGCGTCCCCCGGCGGCTTCGCCAAGCACGCGAGCGCCCACGGCTCGGGTGGGCCGTCGGGCGGCAGGGCCTTCCACGGCTGCCCCGTCTGCCGTGCCTCCACGGTCGGCTCGTCCTCCACCTCCTCCATCTGCTCCTCCTCCTGCTCCTCCTTCTCCTCTTCCTGCTCCGCGAAGAGCTCCAGCGAGTGCTCCTGCTCCATCTCCGTGAACAGCACGCGCTGCCACTCGGCCGAGACCCCGTCGCCGACCGCCGCGGCGCCGCCCCCAGCGGCAGCGCCCGCGCGAAGGCCGTCGACGGCAGCGGCGCCGGCCTCGTCCAGGAACGGCTGCACCCGACCCACCAGAACGTCCAGACTGCAAGAGCCTGGAGGAAGACAAACTGGCACAGACGTAGAGTCTTGGAGGTCCCTCCGGACTCCTTGGATCGGCGCCGGACCACCCTCCCTAGCGCGCGGAGCGTGCCAGAGGCAGCACCAGAAGCGCCGCCAGGGCGGTCCAGCGCCGATCCGAGAAATCAGCGCGGGCCTCCGAAGGTCTATGTATACGCGCGCGGGTAGAAGTTCTCGACGTCGGCGCTGCTCGTAGGGGTTTAGGCCAGGTCGGGAATGCCTTCTACAGGCGGATGTTGGACGACAAGGTGAAGAATAGCCAGAAAGCGTTCAAAAACAGTGGGAAAACCGTCCCCAGACTATCTTTTAACTGATTTTGAATACTCCTCCTGTGCAGTCGGGGTGTTGACCCAAGGAACCCTAAATAAGGAACGAGGCCCCTTTACTCCACAAGTGAAGCTCCACTGCCCATGGAAAACCAAAGGAAAACCGAGAGCAAACTGCAAAACAGATGAGGAACACGGAGCCCCTCCCAAACGAACAGGGTTCCTTCTTCAGCGCCCCGACTGCAGGGGGACATGCCCGACTTCAGGCTGAGGTGGGGGGCACGAGGAGCTCGGGGCCCCTGCGGGGCCCCGAGTCTGGCCGGCATCGGCGCCACACCCCCCGAGAAGCGCCGACCGCAGCACTCCGTCCAAGCAGGATCAATCGAGCTCTTTGCCTCACCTCTTGAGGGGGGGCGGAGGAAGGCAGAGGCAAGAGGGGCGGAGGAGGAGGAGGAGGAGGAGGAAGAGGAGGAGGAGGGGGAGGAGGAGGAGGAGGAGGAGGAGGAGGAGGAGGAGGAGGAGGAAGAGGAGGAGGAGGAGGAGGAGGAGGAGGAGGAGGAAGGGGACGATACACCAGTCCAGCCACCCGACCTCACGACCTCGATCGAGACTTCGGCCCGCGCCCTGGATCTGGCTCTTTCTCCCTCGAGGGCCGTCGGCGTCTTCCGCGGCGGTGCCCGTGGCCTCCGTCTCCACCGTGTAGTCGACCCTGTCGCGGAAGAGGTCCAGGGCGCTGTCGCGCTCGTCCCGCGCTGGGCCGGCGCCCGCGCAGGCGCCGCCCGCCGCGGCAAGGTCGGCCTGCCCGAACCTGGGGGGCGAACAGTGGCATGAGCATAAAAGCTTTCAGTCGGGCGTGTCCCCCCCTACGGGGGGATTTTCGACGAAAAACAAAAAATCAAAACATATTTCAAAATGGCCAACAAATACAAAAAATGGTCCCCAGACTATTTTTTTGACTGTTTTTGGATATTCCCCCTGTAGAGGGACAGGCCGACTTAACATGCACATAAAACAAAAAACTCGGAGGTCCGCGCGGGCCTCCGAGTTTTGATGCCTATTTTTGTGGATGCCATGACAATGGACACTCTAACAAGCCTACCATTGAACTAAACATGTGGTTAACCTGTGTAAAACATGTCCTGAACATGTTTCAAACATGTGTTTTGCATATCAGAAACGTGCTTGAGACACGTCTCAGACATCCAGGAGGTATGTGGCAGCATGCTTCCTCTCCATTCACCGACTCCCACAAGTCTATGTCACTGTTCGCTCCCCTCGAGCCTGCCCGCCAGCTGCCGGAAGGCGCAGCGCCGCCCCTCGTGCTCGATGCACTGCCGGCGGAGGAGCTGCTGCTGCGAGTGCTCCCCCGAGGCCTGCTGCAGGAGCAGCCAGGCGCACACGCGGTCGAGGGTCGCCTCCCCGCGCGGCGCAGCCCCCGGAGCCGCGGGCACCTCGCGCTCCTCCTCCTCCTCCTCCTCCTCCTCCCTCCTCCTCCTCCTCCTCCTCCTCCTCCTCCTCCTCCTCCTCCCCTCCTCCTCCTCCTCCCCTCCTCCTCCTCCTCCTCCTCCTCCTCCTCCTCCTCCTCCTCCTCCTCCTCCTCCTCCTCCTCCTCCTCGGGAAACAATCCGTCTTGTGATTCCCCTTTGGCAGATTCAAGCCTCGAAAATCCATCGAGACGGCCGTCGAACCTCGAGAATCCATCGAAACGGCATTTCAGATGTCACCATTTGCCCTCCACCTGAAGAAATTGCTCGCACCAAGGGTCCCCAGCGAAGGGCCACTCTTGCTTGGGCAGGGGCCGACCGTCCAGGCATGCCTTCAGGCCTACCACGGAATGCCACCATAACAAAAGTATGCTCTACGAACAAAGGCAACGTTCTCAGAACATGCGCCGCTGTGCTACAACACGACGGTCTCAGCTGGAAATGCTATGAGAACATTCTGGGCAAACCACGAAAGGCTCTCTTAGAACATTCTTTGGTGGGCCTATAGGCAAGCCAGGACGCTTCGCCACTGCTTGGCTTATGCGCAGCTGGACCTCGGCCCGGATGCGGGCCGCAACCTCCGGCGTCAGGAGGACCTTCAGCCTCTGCCCGCGACCGATGCCCCTCATCCTGTAGGCACCCTGGGCGAAGTCGCGGAAGGTGGTGTCCTTTGGGACGCACAGAGACATACTAGTACCATATGTCCTCCTTGAGGATATACTTCGGGGGTACTAAAGTTTTTGACCATAAGATGAGAATTGCCTCGCTGGTCACGCGTGCCGCGGAGGACCGATCAGGATGCAAAGGTGCCTTGATGCGGATTCGCGAGCCTTTGTGGGCCCTCTGGGACGGCCAACCAGTGAACCGAGAGCGACCGCATTGGAGAAGGATGCCCAGGGTCTCACAGCATCAATGCAACAAGGAATACAATGAAACATCGCGTTGGCATGATAAGGACAGGGTCGATGGGGATGATGACACGGACGATCAAACGTGACCCAAGCGGAGTGGTTTACTGTGAATGGGTTCAAGTCGGAGTGTTTTCCGGCCCTATTTTAAATGGGACGGAGTAATTATCACCCTGTTTTAAATATATATATATATATATATATATATAATATATATATATATATATATATTATTATATTATTATATATATATATATTGAGAGAGCCCATCGGAGTCGAACCGCCGCCCGACCCAAAACATGTCGCTAAGATTCTACGGGGGGGCAGGGGGCGTCGAGAGCATGACGTCTTATGGTCAAAACTATAGTACCCCCCGTGTAGTATCGGAGGTGAGGGGGTGAGATCGAAGTGGAACGGAGAGCCCTCCTACCGGGAAATCGGTTTCGGTTTCGTGTTCGTGCGTGCCGTGCGTGCGGGCGAGGCGAAGTTGCGTGGGCGGGCGTGGAGAAAGTCTCCTCTGGCTGAGGCGCGGCCGGACCACATGATTCATCTCCGGGGGCCGGTGCCGCGCGGTGTCCCGCCGGTGTCCCGTCGGTGTCCCGATGATGATGATGCTGATGCTGATGATGATGATGATGATGCCGATAATGTTGATGATGATGGTGATGGTGATGATGATGGTGTCCCGATGATGATGATGCTGATGATGATGATGGTGATGATGTTGACGATGTTGATGATGATGATGGTGGTGATGATGGCCATGGTGGTGATGATGATTGTGTCCCGATGATGATGATGCTGACGTTGCTGATGATGATGGTATTGTCCCGATGACGATGATGATGATGTTGGCGATCCTGATGATGCTGATGATGATGAGACGATGCGAATATGATGCGGATGATGAAGGTGATGATGATGATGTCCCGATGATGATGGTGATGATGAGGTTGATGATGATGATGTTGATGATTTGATGATGATGGTGTCCCGATGATGGTGATGATGTTGATGATGACGATGACGATGATGGTGTCCCGATGATGATGATGTTGATGATGAGGATGATGATAGGGTGATGATGAACATTTCGATGACGATGGCCCGAAAAATAATGATGCTGATGTTGATGATGATGGTGTCCCGACGATGGTGATGCTGATGGTGATGAAAATGATAGTGACGATGATGATGGTGTCCAGGTGATGATGATGATGTTGATGATGATGGTGGTGCTGATGATGATGTTGGTGATGAGGTGATGATGATATTGATGCTGTTCATGATGATGATGATGATGAGGTGATGATGGTGATAGTGGTGTTCCGATGATGATGATGATAATGTCCCGATGATGATGCTGATGATGATGATGGTGACAATGATGGTGTCCCGATGATGATGGTGATGGGGTGACGATGATGGTGTCCCGATGCTGCTGATTATGATGATGATGTTGATGACGTTGATGACGATGCTGTTGATGATGATGATAATGATGATGATGATGATGATGATGATGATGATGATGATGATGGCGTTGACTGTGAGATCGATTGAGATATCGATAGTGTGATCGATCGTGAGACCGAATGTGAGATCGATAGTGAGATCGATAGTGAGATCGATAGTGAGATCGATTGTGAGATCGATCGTTTGATCGATTGTGAGATCGATCGAATGAAATAGATCGAGTGAGATCGATTGTGAGATCGATCGAGTGAGATCGATCGAGCGAGACCGATAGTGAGATCGATCGTGAGATTGATAGTGAGACCGATCGAGTGAGACGTTGGTTGCTCCCCCCCCCGAACCTCCTTCTCACCCGAAGGGTGGTCGTATAGGTACCCGTCTTGTAGCAGCTCGTTTCCCGAGCGGTGTGGCCAGAAAGCGCCCGCCACGACGCACATCGGAGGTGAGGGGGTGAGATCGAAGTGGAACGGATTTCGATTTCGTGTTCCGATGATGATTTCGATTTCGTGTTCGTGCGTTCCGTGCGTGCGGGCGAGGCGAAGCTGCGTGGCCGGGCGAGAAGAAAGTCTCCTCCGGCTGAGGCGCGGCCGGACAAAATGATTCCTCTCTGGGGGCCGGTGCCGTGCGGTGTCCCGCCGGTGTCCCGCCGGTGTCCCGTCGGTGTCCCGATGATGATGTTGATGGTGATGATGATGGGGATGATGATGATGATGATGATGATGATGATGATGATGTTGACGATGTTGATGATGATGATGGTGATGGTGGTGATGATAATGGTGTCCCGGTGATGATGATGATGAAGTTGACGATGATGATGATGATGGTGGTGATGATGGTGTCCCAGTGATGATGATGCTGATGATGATGATGCTTGTGATGGTGATGATGGTGTCCCAATGATGATGTGTATGATCCTGGTGATGTTGATGGTGATAACATGATGATGAGATGATGATGAAGATGATGATGATGGTGTCCCGATGATGATGATGATGAGGTTATGACTGTTGATGGTGATGGTGATGATGATGGTGTCCCGATGATGATGATGATGATGTACATGATTATGGCGATGATGGTGCCCCGATGATGATGACGTTTGAGGACGATGATGACATGATGATGATTGTGATGATGGTGGCCCAATGGCGGTCATGATGATGATGCTGATGTTGATGATGATGGTGTCCCGATGATGATGATGATGGTTACGAGGATGATGGTGTCCCGATGAAGATGCTGTTGTTGATGCTGATGATGGTGTCCCGATGATGATGATGTTGATGTTGTTCATGATGATGATGATGATATGATGATGATGATGATGATGATGATGACGGTGGTGTTCCGATGATGATGCTGGTCTCCCGATGATGATGATGATGATGTTGATAATGATGATGGCGACGATGATGGTGTCCCGTGATGATGGTGAGGTGATGATGATGATGGTGTCCCGATGATGATGATATTGATGACGTTGATGACGACGATGTTGATGATGATGGTCATGACGTTGATTGTGAGATCGATTGTGATATCGATCGTGAGATCGATAGTGAGACCGAATGTGAAATCGATTGCGAGATCGATAGTGAGATCGATAGTGAGATCGATTGTGAAATCGATTGTGAAATCGATCGGGTGAGATCGATCGAGCGAGGCCGATAGTGAGATCGATAGTGAGATCGATAGTGAGATCGATAGTGAGACCGATCGAGTGAGACGTTGGTTCCTCCCCCGCCCGAACCTCCTTGTCACCCGAAGGGTGGTCGTATAGGTACTATAAGATTGCTCGGTGCCCGCGTCGCCCCTAGGGGTGGGCGACGCACACATAGCATTCGTATGTTTTGGCGGCGAGCGCGGGGGGGAAGCGAGAATGGGCGGACCTTCTCAGAAGGCTCGGATGCCCCCCGGCCTTCCGAGAAGTTTTCTGAGCCCTCCCCCGAAGACGCAGACAACCTCTCAGAAGGCGCGAGGGCTTCTGAGAAGTCCCGCCGTCTTCTGAGAAGGCCTTCTCCCGTTCCTCGCTCCACCCCCCTCGCTCGCCGCCGACTGTCGGGGTGGCGCCGCTCCTTCCCCAGGGTGACGGCCGCACACGCGCTGGGCGCGTGCCGGAGGTCCATGCCCGTGGTGTGGACCTGCGGGGGCACAGAGCGCGGCGACGGCGCAGAAGCTCTCGCAGGCCCGCGCGGAGCTCCGGGGTCGGCGCCGGGCCCGCTCCCAGCCCCCCGCACTGACTGCAGCCGGCCCGTATCAGAAGGACGCGCGGTAAGGATGCCAGGGCCCTGGACGCCCGTGTCGAAGCTTCTCGAGCGGGGCGCGGCCGGCGAACGTGGCCAAGGCTATGGACCGAGGAGGCAAGGATGCAAGGGTACCCCTGGAAAGGTGGCCCACCATCCTTGCCATGCGGGTGGACTGTGCCTGCCAGACCACCCCTACCTGGCCCGAAGACCCACATTTCGGTCGGCTGCAAGCAGGAGTGACCCAGGTTAAGACGTGACCCTTGGTGCGCAGCTTTTTGGGGGCCGCGGGAGGACGAAGCACGAGCGCGCAAGACGCGACGTTACCGCACCGCGCTCGGCGATCGGGGGGGAGATCCATTGGGCCCGCACCAAAGGTCACTCCGGCGAAAGGTCACTGCTACGTCTAGTCGGTTTGGAGGAGGAGGAGGAGGAGGAGGAGGAGGAGGAGAAGGGGTGATGAGGTCCCACATGCGTTTTTCAATGTTCCCCGACGCCCCCCCCCACTGGGGATGGAGGGCCAAATGGGGCCTTCGGGTTGGGTTGGGGTGGTCTGGTGAGTGGGAACGCACCCCCCTCCCTGGCGCGCGGAGTGTGCCAGGGGCGACGCCCGAGGCGCCGCTCTGGGGTGCGGGGACGAGGCTCCAGCGCAGGCCCGAGAGATCCGAGCGGACCTCCGAAAGCTCAGCGCTGCCGTTGTGCAGCCTTCGAGGCCTGATCGTAGAAGACGAAGCGACGCTCGGGTGGGAGAGTGCAGTGCGCGACCCTCACCGCCTCCTGGAAGCCCCGGCGCAGCAGCCACTGCTCCCCGCCCGGGTCGAAGAACACCACCGCTTCGAAGCGCAGGCCCCGGTCCAACAGCGTCTGCGCCACCTCCCTGTTGCTCAGGCCGGTGATCAGGGCCCCCACGTCGATGAGCATGCTGAGCGGGGGGTCCTGCGCGGCAATCAGTTCGAGCAGGGACAGCGCGCTCCAGTCCTCGTTCGCTGGCCAGAGCGCGGCGACGGCGGGGTCCGTGAGGGTGCCGACCATCCGCGCGTCGTCGCCCTGCGCGTACACGCACCTCCCCAGGGCGCGGGGCAGCAGGTCGTTCGGCGTGCCGGAGAAGCCGAGCCTCGAGCCGCAGACGATCTCGCTGCCGAGGTCCTGCCCCGAGGCCGAGAGCTTCGTGTCCGCGTGCAGCAGCAGCTGCGGGAAGATGTCCTCGTGCAGGTAGTACTCCATGAGGAAGGGGGATGCGCGCAGCACTGCAGACACCAAGCCCACCTCAACGACGAAAAGGAACGGGCCCTGCGCGAGAAGACGTCGCGAGCTTACGCTGCGGCTCACGCGGGCCGCTGGCGCGGCGCACTGCGAGGAGAAGAGAGGGCGCTTGCGCGTGGCCTCACGCGGGAGGCTTCCGCACGCATGTCGGCGCAGCCGATCCCGTTCTCTGACGGCGCGCAGAGGGGGGCAGGGGGAGGGGAGGAGGCTTCTCAGGAGGAGGCTGCCTCCCGGAAGGCGCCGGCCTTAGATGTACAGACAAGGCCCGCGCCTTCTAAGAGGCAGGGGTGCTTCTGAGAAGCGTTCCCCCCCTCCCTCTACCCCCCTGACAGTTAGGAAGGCGTTGGAAGTAGATTGGGTGTCCGCCCACCCCCGAAGGAGAACGGAAAAGGTGAAACCATTCGACCGTTGAAGCAGGAAGGCGCTCCAAGTGGATTGGGATCTGGAACTCCCAAAGAAGACCTGCCTTCGACGACCGAGGGGAGGGGTACGCGGGAAGCTGCCGTGCGAACGTCGACGCAGTCGACCCCGCTCCCTCCCGTCGCCTTGCCTGTGCCTCGTCGTTGACGTTGATCCACTCCAGGGGCGGCACGAGCTGGCCGCCGCCCGCGGCGTGCTGCGCGGCGCCGCTCGCGGCGCCGCTCTCCAGGACGAGCTGGCCCTGGTCCTCTCGGCTACGCGCAGAGCGACCCCAGGCTTCACTCGGGCCTGTCCCTCTACAGGAGGGAGACTCAAAAACGGTCTACAAATAGTCTGTAGACGATTTGGGGACTTTTTTGAAATGTTTGTGTGTGTGTGTGTTTTTCTGCCACGTTTGATTTTTCTCGCAAAATACGCCTGTAGGAGGACATGCCCGACCTGAGCTTGAAACCACCCCCTGGATTAAAAAGTCCAGATCGGCACTGCAGGCCCCCTTGCATCGTCGCTCCCCGAGAGGTAAACATGACTGGCAAGAAGTACCGAGCATAATCGCAACTTCCAAGCACCATAACTGGGACCGGAAATTTACTTGCGAGGAAGTCCCAAGCGAAATCGCCAATTTCTGGTCGCCGCTGAGAATTTCCGGTCGCCTGAAAAGCGTCCGGAATTTTTTTTTGAGGAAGTATTAGGCGGAATGCGGATTTCCGGTTGTCACCCCATTTGGCGATTATAATATTAGAGGGGGTGAGGATGGACCGGAAATTTAACCATGGCGGCCCCTGCAACACTGTACCGGGGCCCCGGGGCCTAACGGGAGCCGAACAACAAGGCAAGGCTTATTCCCCGACCTCTGCGGTCCAGACTTTTTATTCCAGGGGGTTGTAGGCAAGAGTGACCTTTGGTGCGTGGCTTCAGGGGTGGCCGCGGGGGAGCCAAAACCAATCGCGCAAGACGCTCCTATCGCATCGCGTTCGGCGATCGGGGGACCCTGGGGGGGCCCACACCCAAGGTCACTCCTGCGAGGGGCCACTCATATGCGTAGTCGGTCCTTCGGCATCGCGCTCCTCTGGGGAACCCAAACGTTCCCGATACCGCTATTCCCTGGACCTCTCCCGGGGTGCGTTCTAACGAAGATTTCGAGGCGAATCCAGCGGTGGCGACGAGGGCCTCCCAGGAGGCCCCAAAAGGGGTGAACTGACGAGGGGTGGCAGTATGGGCATCTTTTCGTCCTCTGATCCTCGCGTCCCCGTCGATGTCCCCTCGGACGTGCGCGTCCGCAGCGGACACCCAGGCGCAGTACAGCTTTCGGGCTCGCCGGAAGCGCGGCGCGACCTCGGTCTCCTGGCGGTGCATTCTGCAGAGGCACCGGAGCGCGCGGGCAAAATCGCCGTGGCGGAGCCCCGTGAAGCGATAGGCCAGCCACGTGAGCCCGATCTGCACGTCGGGGTGGCTGAACTGGGAGGTGTCCGACGGGACGTCCTTTCCCACGAAGGGCACCGCCAGGTGGCGCCGCGCCGGAGGCTCGTGGTTCCATGCCGGGCTGCCCTCGTCCAGCAGGCCGTAATGGACCCTGTTAGGGAACCGAACTTTCTTCACCGACGCCTGTTCTGGCCCTGCAATGAGATTTGCACAGGAAAACGGAGCCTGGTGCATACGGGACCCTGGTGCATACATGCTTCGTTGTTCCCCTGGGAAACGGATAAAAAAGTGTACACCGCCCCGCCCCGACGTCGTCCCCGACGCTCAAAAAGTCCTGGGATTGAAAAACAGCCCGCCACAGGCAATGTTTGGTCGGGCGTATCCTCCTACAGCGGATTTTGGACGAAAACTAAGAAATGCACAACAAAAATCCAAAATAGTCAACAAATCGTCCCCTGACTATTTGTTCACAATTTTCGAACTTTCCTCCTGTAGGCCAGACCCAATGGTAGTATATGTGCTCCAGCTTCCGGCCTGTGGATGCGGCCGGCGAGGTGAGGCAGCAGCACCCCCAGCCACGTGCGGGCCAGGTTCAGCGCCTTCCGGGACGCACAAAGACACACTTTTACCAGGCGTTCTCCTCGGAGGCGCGCGCCCGACCCGAACATAGAACAGTCTTGCAGCATGCCGCTTCTCGAGCGGTGTGGCCAGAGAGCGCCCGCCACGACGCATGTACTACAAGATTTCTCGGTGGAGGAGGAGGAGAAGGAGGAGGAGGAGGCGGAGGAGGAGGACGAGGAGGAGGGGGCGACGCACACATAGTATCAATATGTTGGGGTGGCGCCGGCCTTCATCCGCTGGTCGCCGAGGTCCCGCAGCCGCTCGCTCGCGCCAGGGGCGCCGCAGAGGTAGGCCAGGAGGTCCCGGTCCTGGTGCGGGGCTGGGCCCACATGTTGTTTTTCGTTTTGTTTTCGCTCTGTGTTTCCTTACCATTTTCCTAGGGTGGAGGGCTCAGGGTGAAATCCATGTGGGCTTTTGCACGTCAGAAATCAATCCGTCTTGCGAGTCACCTTTTGCAGACTCAAGCCTCGAAAATCCATCGAACCGGCATTTCAGATGTCACCCTTTGCCCTCCACCCGAAGAAGATGCTCGGGCTTCGTTCTGCTCTGCCCGCTCTCCCGTCCCTCCCTGCCCAGACGACGGGCAGAACACAGCTGGAGTCCAGCGGAGCAGCGTTGGGGTCCCCAGCCCCGTCCTGGTGGCGCCAGGGGTGCCGGTGCCGCAGCCAGATCAGCATCCACTCCTGGGCATATCAGGGCGCGGGCGTCGCCCGAGAGGCGGTGGGCGAGGGGGCGGCCGCCCTTGGAGGCAGGAGGTCCTGCTCCCAGGGGGCCCTTCCAGAGGAAGCCTTCCACAGGAGTCCCAGCCCTGAGACCCCGGGGCGTCCACTGGTTCTTGGTGTGGGAGCGTCACGCTTTCCACAACAACACCATCAAGGGAGGGGGCTGGCAGCGCGCACAATCCTTTCGTCCTTCCCCTTCCTTTCCTCCTCATCCTGCCCCTCCTCCTCCTCCTCCTCCTCCTCCTCCTCCTCCTCTTCCTCCTCCTGCGACTTTCTCCTCCTCCACCTCCTCCTCCTCCTCTTCCTCCTCCTGCGACTTTCTCCTCCTCCACCTCCACCTCCTCCTCCTCCTTCTCCCCGCTCCTCCTGATCCTCCTCGTTCTCCTCCTCCTCCTCCTCCGCCTCCTCCTCCTCCTCCTCCTCCTCCTCCTCCTCCTCCTCTAAAGGGGTTCGGGGGGAGGAGGGGAGGCTTCTTCGAAGGAGAGGCCGCTTCTCAGAAGGTGCGGGCCTCACACACGTACATACATGAGGCCCGCGCCTTCTGAGAAGCAAGGGAGCTTCCAAGAAGCCTTCCACCCTCCCCCATACCCCCCTCTGCGCGTGGCCGACCGACGGGGCCATTACGAAAACTGACGAGGCCCAATCTGAAATCTGACGCGAACTCCCGCTGCAGACATCCCACGAAAACTGGACCGCCCAAATCCGGGGCGTGCTCGTCCAAAAGCGTCGGCCAACCCGAGTTCCGACATACTCGAGTCTTACGTTCCCCCGACTGCATTTAGATGAAAGTATAGGGTCATGCAGCCAGACCAAGGACACAATCATATCCTGATAAGAGCATGAGGCCCTCCGCCTGTCAAAACATCCCGAGCCATAAGGTCACTCGAGGGCACTCTCCCCTAGGATGTACAAGAACATCCAACAGGCACGAAGATCATTCGGGCACCCTCTCCGAACCGACCTCGACCTTATACCTGGGTCCAGCCGCACTCGAGCCTTACGTTGCTCTCCTGAGTTGGGACGAAGCGAACGGGTCACGAGGGAATTTCGGCGGCGAGCCCCGGGGGGGAAGTGAGAAGGAGAAGGCCTTCCCAGAAGGCTCAGAAGTCCCCAGGCCTTCTGAGAAGTTTTCTCCAGCTTCCCCGACGAATCAGAGAACCTCTCAGGAGGCCCGAGGGCTTCTGAGAAGCCCCGCCGCCTTCTGAGAAGGCCTCCTCCTTCTCACTTCCCCCCCTCGCTCGCTGCAGAGAATTGGGCGTCGCTGAATGGGGGGTGGGGGTGATCATACACGGGGGAGAAGAGAGGTGCACTTCTCGGGCCTGAAAGGCTCCCTTTGGGCATCCAAGGGCCCCTTCAGGGGCCCGAGAGGGCCCCTTTTCCGCAGCCCTCGCTGCCATCGCCCCCCCCTTACGCAACGCCCAAGGGAAGCGGGTCCTGGACCCCTGGAGGCTTCCTCCCAAAACCAGCTCCGCGTTCAGAGAGTTTTTGCTGTTTTGTTTGGCCGCCCCAGGGTGGGCACAGAGAGGATCTCCTGGGGGGCCCCAGAAGGGTGACCAACCTCAGGAGCCGTCTCGCTTGGGACCCCCTTTCGGGCGTTGGCGGGACCGGGTTTAGTGGGACACGGTTTTTTAGTGGGGTCCCCAAAAAGCGTGAACATCCTCAGGACCCGTCTCCCTTGGGACTCCCTCTGGGCGTTGGTGGGACTGGGTTTAGTGGGACCTGGTTTAGTGGGGCTCCGAAAGGGTAAACATCCTCAGGGCCCGTCTCCCCTCGGGATCCCTTCCCAGACCTTCTCCGACACGATTTTCTCGACCCGCGGCCCAGAGAGCTCCCGACCCCTTCCCTGAGGGTACTTCTACGTCCTGGATCAATCTTTTGATCAGATCATACCCTCGGAGATCTGGATTTCCTCGGGACCCTGGGGGCCTCAAAAGGGCGAACAGCCTCAGGACCCGTCTCCCTCAGGAAGAAACAGCTGCGGCAGACCTTGGTTTGGTGATTCCAGCCCATATTCTGGGCTTCGGTTCCCAATCGCTCACCGGCTCCCCTGAACTGGGGTCCTGGCTGTACCCGGCCCTGCGATCCGACGTTGCGAAGAAATGGCAACCTCGCAGAAGTCACGACCGCACCCGCGGAGCCCATCTCTCTCTGCATATTTTTTCGAGCCGCATCGATTTGTGAGGGTCCCGGGGCCCGAAATGGAGCGAGCCCAGCCTCCGCCTCCGCCTCCGCCTCCGCCTCCGCCTCCGCCTCCGCCTCCGCCTCCTCCTCTTCCTCCTCCTCCTCCTCCTCCTCCTCCTCCTCCTCCTCCTCCTCCTCCTCCTCCTCCCCCCGGTGTGAAAAAAACTGCAACGCCGGGATCTCAGTGCCTTCCTGGCGCTTAAGAGAGGCGCGCCGCCGGGCTCCGCCAGCAGGGGCCGCAGCTCGCTCGTGTAGAACTCCCGCGACAGCAGGGCCAGGTGGGGCGAGGCCTGCTGGGCGGAGGCTACGCAGGGCTGGTGGCTTCCGAGCTCGTCCCGGACGCAGCCATTTCCCCCCCCTAGAGGCCTCCTAGATGGGGTCCGAGTAGATGGGGTCGGAGGATCGCGCCGAAGCGCGGATACATCGGCGATACGTCGGCGATGCATCGGCGATGCATCGGCGATGCACCAGCGATGCATCGTCGACGTCAGCGATGCATCGGCGACGTCGACGTGACGCAAATCGGGCTGCACATCGAGCCGCATCGGCGATGCGTCGGCGATGCGGCGCGATCCTCCGACCCCATCTACTCCGACCCCATCTAGGAGGCCTAGACCCCCCCCTCCAGGGGCCGTTGCCCCAGGGAGGGAGATCAAACTAGAGCCTGCAGATCTATACGCCGGTCGGAAGAAGTACATAGAAGCATGGAGTAGGAAGGCGGATCAAGTAGACTGGGCTCAGGCCCTCCCAGATAATAACAAACAACATCGAGACCATGCCGGTTCTTGACGTAGGAAGGCGCTAGAAGTATGTCGGGATCTGGGAGTGCAATAACGCCTACCTTCCACGACCGGCGTGTGTGCCATGAGTAGGGAAGCCAGGCGAAGGGCGCGAAAGGCAAGGAGGACCCCACCAGGGGGCAAGGCAGCTGTGCCCCCAAGGAGGAGGAGGAGGAGGAGGACCAGTGGAACCCCAAGAGTCATCAATGATGTTGGAATTAGCCCTCCCTCCAAGCTCTCCCTTCATAGGCCCCTACGATGGTTCATTTCCATCGAGGGAACTGCCTCGTTGGAAGACAACACTTTGAAGATCCTGAAGCGTGCCAACACAATGTTCTCGGGGTTTCAACGCCACGTATTAACCTGACTGCTGCGTCTTGACGATCCAGAACCGTGTCAAAACGCCGTTTTTGGGATGTCAGCACAGCGAATCAACATAACGGTTGCACCCGCATAATCCTGAATCCTTCCCATACACCATTTCTGGTGCGCTGATCATGGGAATCCGTGAAACTCTTGCACATACAAAAAACGGATGCGCGCGGCGCCAAAGCAAGAACCACATTTTGAAAAGGAGCCGCCCTCAATCCGTTAAGCTCTTGCAGATGTTTTAGACGAATGTGCGCGGCGCTAAGGCGAGAACCACATTTTGAAAACCGTCTGCCCTCAATATGTTAAGCTCTTGCATTTGTTTGAAACGAATGTGCGCGGCACTAAGGCGAGAACCACATTTTGCAAACCACCCGCCCTCAATCCGTGAAACTCTTGCGCATAGGTAAGACGAATGTGCGCGGCGCTAAAGCGATAACCACATTTTGAAAACCACCCGCCCTGAATCCGCGTAACTATTGCGCATGTTTCAATATAATGTGCGCGGCGCTAGGGCGAGAGCCACATTTTGAAAACGACCCGCCCTCAACCCGTGAAGCTCTTGCAAATGTTTGAAACGAATTTGCGCGGCGCTAAGGCGAGAGCCACATCTTGAAAACCATCTGCCCTCAATCCGTGAAACTCTACAAATTTTCAAAACGAATGTGCGCGGCGCTACGGCGAGAGCCACATTTTGAAAACCATCCGCCCTCCATCTGTGAAACTGTTGTCACGTTCTATGCTTCAGAATCACAAGTGGTGAGGAAGTCTCAGGCGAAACTCCCGGCCCGCCCTAAAAACTGGCCTCGGGGTGCGACAGGGAGGAGTTATTTACAAGGAAAAAGAATGGAGGAGGAGGAGGCCGAGGAGGCGGAGAACGAGAAGGAGGCGGAGGGGGGAGGAGGAGCAGGAGGAGGAGGAGGAGGAGGCGGAGGAGGAGGAGGAGGAGGAGGAGGAGGAGGAGGAGGCGTAGGAGGAGGAGGAGGAGGCGGAGGAGGAGGCGGAGGAGGAGGAGGGGGAGCGACGGGAAGGCCTGCAGACACTTCTCCTCCAGCCCGCGGCGCACCGCGCCCCGGATGCGGTCGAGCACGCGCGCGGCCGCGCCCTGGCCGCCCAGGCTGGCGGCGGCGGGGCCTGGCGGCAGCTGGCAGCAGAACAGGCCGTCCAGCAGGTGGAAGGCCACCTGAGCGACGAAAGGAGGCAGGCCTTACGCTTAGGTCGGGCCTGTCCCCCTACCGGGGGATCTTGGACGAACAAGTAAAGGATTCCAAGACTAATCGAGAATACTCAACAAAACAACTGTTCTACAACATCGTCCCCAAGCTACTTTGTTATAGCAACTTTCGAATCTCCCCCCTGTAGAGGGACACGCTCGGCTTAACCTTACGCACGATGCCGCAGCGACCCTGCGCGGCGGCCTGCGCGGGCCGCCAGGTCGGCACGCCGCATGGGACACGAGGGCGCGGGCGCGCGACCTCGCGCGGTCAGCCTCCGCGCGCGAGCGCCCGCGCGGCCGAGCCCTGCTGTGCTGCGCCGCTCACCTGCCAGCGCGCGCCGACCTGGCTGCCCAGCACGTGCGAGTGGGTCAGGTGGAGCCCCGCCGCGGTGGAGGCGCCGCCCGCGAGCCCCGAGGCGCCCTGGGACCCCGGCGCCGCGGTGAAGTCCAGCTGCTGCTGCTCACCCAGCGGCCAGTGCAGCTCGCTGCGCAGCGGGTGCATCAGCAGGTCCAGCTCGTCCAGCGTCAGCACCGCCTTCGCCATGAAGCGGAAGCAGCGCGCCAGGACCCGGGCCTCGAGGCGGAACTGCGCCAGCCTCTCCTGCTGCTCCTCACTGTGGGAGGGCTGCCGGCGCCAGATCCGCCAGCTGCGCTTCTGCGCGGCGGCGGCGTCCTCCTCCTGGCCGCGCTGCACGTCGATCTCGTGCACCGCGAGCAGAAGCCGCAGCACCAGCGATTTCAGCGAGGAGGGGCTCGCGCAGAGCACGGCGCGCCCCTGCCGCGCGTGCAGCAGCTGCAGGCAGAGGCTTTCGGACACCGGCGACGAGCGCGAGAACTCGAACAGGTGCACTGGGCGCCAGAGCGCCGCGCGCAGCCGCTCGCGCAGCACGCGGCAAGTGAACTCCAGCAGCGCCGCCGGGCAGCAGACGATGGAGGCCCTCTCGGCGGTGGCCGTGAGAAGCACGAGCAGAGGGGTGACGACAGTGGTCTTCCCCTCGCCCATGAGCATCTGGTGTACCAAGGACCTGCCCTCCTCAACGGCCTGCACCATGGTGCGCACCAGGCTGACCTGCTTCTCCCGCAGCACCACCTGCGAGACGAACTCGAAGCACAGCAGGCGAGGGTCGTACGCCGTGCCGTCGACGCAGAACTGGCGTGTGGACAGCTCGCGCGCCGCCTGCTGCGCGCACTCGACCAACGCGCACTCGTGGGAGCGGTCGGACTCCTGGTGGGGCCCCCTGTTCTCGGCACCGACCTGGGAGATCAGCAGGCCCCTCAAGCGCCCAAGCTGCCCAATGCAACGCTTGCACACAACCGTGCGCGCGCTGAGCAACAGCGCCAGCAAGCAGCCGGTGGCTACATCCGCGACGTCCTGCTCGCTCAGCAGCTGCGCTGTGTGCGGCATCGCAAGCCGGAGGCCGCCACGGAAGAGCAGTATCCGCATGATGTCCTGGAACTCCAAGGCCGCGCAACTCCCGCCCAGTTGTCCCAGCTGCTGTGCCCACCTTGCGGCCTCAACGTCGCCCTGCGCCCCTCTGTCCGTCTGCGCCACCCGAGCCTGGCCGCCAGCCAGCTCCTTGGTGCGTCTGATCGCCTGCAGCATGTCCTTGCGATCCTGTGCCAGCGTCATTTTTAGAACCTCCGTGAGCTGGTCGAGGTTTCCGAGTAGATTCTGGACCTCGTCCTTGCACGCCAGCATCTTGGTGACCGTCTGCGCAGTGATGCCGAGAAAGCTTGGCTCTGTCGTCTCCTGCCCCAGGCTCTCGATGTCCTGCCTGAGTCGCCGGAGAAGCTCCCGACCGGAGGCCGTGGCCTGCATGCGGCAGCCCTCCAACTCGAGCGAGCTGAACACAGAAGAGAACGCAGTCGCCCGGGGTGCCTGCTGCCTGAAGCTCACATAGCTGTCGAGGCCCACTGGCAGCAGCGGCCTGCTCGCCAGGGCTGGCAGCTGCGCCAGCGGCAGCTCCTGCATCCCCGGCAGCCCCTGGAGCTCCGCGCAGATGTGCCACAGTTCGCTGGGCCCAGACCCGCAAGAGCCTCCTGGCCAGTCGTCGTCCACCGCCGCGCCGTTGCGGAGGGCGCGCCTGCCACAGTCAAAGTCCCACTCCATGGACGGGAGGCGGCTGTCGCCGAAGCTCTCCAGCGTGGCGATCATACTCTCGGCCTGTGCGTTGGTGAGCGAGCCAGTCTCCAGGCGGCTGGCGCGTGAGCCGCACGAGCGAGCAGAATGGACGCCACTCGTGGCTCGCTCTGGGGCCTCTGGCCCGCCCGTGCCGCACAGCATCCACCGCCCCTCGTCACGTCGGATCGCCCACTCGGCGGCAGAGGTGGCTCCCTCATGGACGGGCCGCCCGAGCGCCGTCCCGGGCGCCCGCAAGCTGTTCTTCACGGAATCGCTCTGGAGAGCAGCCACCAACTCGCTGCCGAATTCCACCGGGTCCCTGCCGCGGCACCTCGGGAGTTTCTTCGCCACGTCTGGGTGCTGCTCCAGCATGCGCACCAGCCCTGCCAGCGCAGGACTCTTCTCAAGCTCCTGCGGCGACAACAGGCACGCCAGAAGCTCTCCGGTAACTTCGGGTGCGTCGCCAGGCCGCAGCCAGACCGAACGCGAGGAGGTGATCAGCTCGTACAGGGTCAGGAAGTCGGCTGGCAGCTGCAAGGGCAGCCGCCGCAGCAGCCACGGGTAAGCCGCGTCTCCTGTCGGCCAGCTGAACTCCTGGGTGGGAAGTGCCTCGACGTCGAAGAGGCCCGCCCGAATGTCCACCTCGCTTGGGGGTGGCAGAGAGAGAACACTCTCGTCCACCGAATCTTCCAGCGTGGTCCTCCCGCGCAGGTTTGGCCCAGGAACAAGGACACCGTTCGTGCGCGGCACCACCGCGTCCACCACGGCCGCACCGCTGCCGTGTGGCAGTATGCGTTCGTAGAGCTCGCTGCGCACCCGCAGCTCCCAGGGCATGGCGGAGCCCTCCACGCTGGCGAAGTCGGCGAAGAGCGCCAGCAGTGCTGCGTCCTCCGCGGGCGTCAGAAGCTGTCCAGCCAGCGACCTGGATCCGTGCAAGGTCCAAATCATCAAGTCTGCCCCAGGGTCCCATCCATCCGGGACGCTCTGCCGGTGACGGTCCAGCTGCAGCACGATCTTGAGCCGCAGCACGGCTGCGTCGATGCAGCGCTCGTTTCGCAGCACCGTTGTGACCTCCTCCCAGATCCGTTCCTCCTCGAACTCCGGGTGTGGGCCTGCCGCCGCACAGGTCATGGCGATGGCGCAGGCGCTGCTATACGACCCGTGCAGCACGTGCAGCAGCAGCAGGTAGAGCTCGGCCACCCGTGTGGTTGCCGTGAGGAACTCATGGGAGCTGTGCACGGAGAAAAGCTGGTTACGATGCTGAGCACGGAGCCCAGCCATCCACTCGGGATCGTTGCGTACGAGCTCCACCGCGCCCTGCCGGGTGTGGCGCGGCCGGTCGGCCACGGAGACGAGGACGTACAGCTCGCCGACGTCGTCCTCGAGGAGCACGAACCGCGGAATTTGCCTGACGAGCCTCAAGAGGCTGCCCTGGTCGCCCACGGGGCTCCGCGCGACGCTGAGCCCGCCGTGCTGGTCGCAGCGCAGGGCGCCGTCTTCGCCGGAGCTCGTGAAAGTCAGGCCCAGCCGCGGGAACTCCACTGCATCAACACGGCGTCCCTCGTGGCTGTCCACGGCGTCTCGGAGCAGCCAGTCGTGCGTCCACACGAGCACGTGCGAGAGGTCGTCCAGCTGCAGAGCCCAGCCAGCCACCTCCCAGGCGGTGGAGTTCGGGGGCGCGCGCACGAGGTCCACCAGCGTGGACGCGCCGATCCTCGCGGTCTCCTCGCCCTCCTCGTGCATCAACGCGTTCAGCTGCCTGGCCTCTTCGACCCTGCTGGGCCCACTGAGCGTCACTCGGTGCACCCGGGCAGCGCCCCCGCCATCGCTGAGCTCCACCACCAATGCCGCACCAGACGAGGCCTGGCGGCGCGCTGCTGGCTTCATCTTCCCCACCAGGCGGCCGTGCCGCGGGCGCCAGAAGTCGAACGAGCTCAGAAGCAAGTCCGGCAGCGTTCCGACCAGGAAGCGCTGCGGCACCAGCACGGACTCTCCGCCCGTGTCCTCGTGAACGATCTCCACCGAGGGGGCCGGGCCCCCATCGATGGGGATGAAAGAGGCGCTCCTCGTGCGGGCCCTTGACACACTCGCCGGGGTGCTCGCTGCCGGCGAGGCCTCCGCTGCGCAGCTGGCTCCTGCACCGGGGGCGGCGTCGAAGGCAGCGTAGCTCCATGCTGCGTCGGACGTGAAGACCTGGGTGCGCACAGAGCGCGGGCCACACATCGTCATCTCGTACACGTGCACCACGGGCGCGCGCTGCGGGGTCGAGGTCTCGCGGAAGATGTCCAGCTCCTTCACCGCGCCCGCGAGGTGAGGGTCGACGTAGCCGTAGTCGTCCCCGTACTGGACCTCCATGTCCTGGCTGCACCCGCAGACGATGCGCAGCTGAGCCATGTGGCCGGTCTGCGGGTTCCGCGGCAGCTTCCACTCCGTGCCGTTGTCGTGCAGCAGCTCCTGGAGCTCGGGCACCGCCCTGAGCGTAGCCTCGATCCAGTCCTCCCCGTCATCTTTATTCCGCGGGTAGCTGCGGCAAAATATCCCCTCAGACGGCTCCACTACAGGCTTCCTCCAGAGCCGGAACTCGTATCGGGATCCTGCGAAGCGGTAACGCTCTCGGTTCTGCGAGCACTCCACCAGAGCCCACATGAGCCTGGACGCGCCAGCATCGACCTGAGGGAAGACCTCCCTGAACTCTGGCAGTGCCAAGACGTCCTCCGGCACTGGGGTCACCGTGCGCTGCCGGAACTGGAGCTGGCCGATATTGATGTTAACCTCCACTGGAGCAGCGTCGGTGGACGCAGCAAGCCAGTTTGAGAAGCTCTCGTCCGCCAGCTCCGGGCTGACCGCGGCGGGCGCCGACGTGGCAAAGCGGCCAGACCCGTCCCAGAAGTCCTCCAGCTCGACCCACCGCCTGCCGAGCACGACCGCATCCTCGGCGCCCTGCGCGACCTGCGACGACGCCACGGTCGCCACGACGTGCTCCAGGATGCGGTCGCGGCCGCCGCCCTCCCGCCGCAGCCACTCGTATATCCGCGGCCGGGTCGCGTGAAAGAGTTCGAAGATCTCCGTGTCGGCGAAGCCAAGCAGCTCGCTTCGCGTCTTGCCGGGGTCATTGTCTCCGTCTGCGTCCTGGCCCATCTTCAGATTCGCGTTCACGTACACCTCTGCGCAGATCAGCGTAGAGACACCGCGGGCCGACAGCTCGTCGCCCCAGCGGTAGATCAGGGCCAGATGCAACCAGATGGCGCAGGCCACGTCGCTGCCGGCTGCCTCCTCCATAGCGCGGCTGCACCACCTCTCCAGCGTCGGCACTGCCTCCAGCCGCAGCCGCCAGCCCCAACTGCTCGCGCGGTCCCCGAGGACCTTCGCGGCCTCCGCGCTGCCGCACGCGAACCCTCGAGCGGGCTCCCTCGCGCCCTCGCTGGAGTCCCGGGCCACCGCTGCCGCCAGCGCGGCCGCGCGCACCCAGAGCCGCACGGCGTAGAGCACCGCCGCGGCCCCCGGCAGGTAGGCTGGCGTGTCCTGGGGCGCAGAAAGACATACTAGTACTACATGTCCTCCTTGGAGGCGCGCGTCGGACCCGAACATATGGTACACCCATCTCGTTGTGGACCGTTTCCCGAGCGGCGTGGCCAGAAAGCGCCCGCCACGACGCATACACCCAGATTCCTACCCATATATCTTTATAGGGCCGGGGGCCCCGGAAAAAGCGCCCCCCCTCCCCTCTCACGAACTTGGTCCACCCCGGGCCTCTCGGGCAACCCTCCAGACGACCCGGGAGAACCTCACACGAGGAAGACGGCCCCAGAGGGCTCCAGGCGTTCCGGCGCGCTCCCGAAACGACCCCAGAGAGCCCCAAGACGGTCCACGACGACCCCCAAGAAGCCGTCGTACTCCAAATATCGCTCCAAAACGTCCCAGAAGGCCCCAAGAGCCACAACTCATTGACTTTTGTTGTTTTTTGGTGAATTTGAGGGTTCTCCTCTTTTCGGCTTCCCGACGCTCTAATATGGCGGTCTTCTGGGCGTCCGAAGCCGCCTGAAAGGTTCGAGAATCACCCCACAAACATCCGAAAGGGCTTCCAGGCAGTCCAAGAGAGCCCCAAGACAGCACAACAGCCCCATGGCGGCCTAAGATGGCCCCGAGACACCCTCTGGAGCATTCCAAATCGTGACCTGGTCGTTCAGGGAGACCGCGGTTGGAGGCAGGGTGGCCCATGGAAGCCCCCAGAGGCCCCCAGAAGACGCCCAGGAGGCCTCCAGAAGGCCTTAAAAAAGCCTGAACAACCTCTGTGAGGCCCCCAGAGGAGCCTCCGCAAAAATAGCTGAGAAGAATGGGGAGAATGCGCAGGGTACGGCGATAGTGAGGAAAAAGAAGGATGGAGGAAGGATAACGAATAACATTACTGTAACGGCGATGTCGGAAAAGGCAACGAGGTGTTATCGCAAAATTGTCGGCTTGACCTTCCTGCCATTCCGCCTGCATGACAAGCTTCAAAGACCAAGGTGCATGACGCGAAGCGCCATCGCAGTCTTGTATTTTCCTATTTGTATACTTTTATAGGGCCGGGGACCCCGGACAGACCCCGGACGGAGCCCCCCCCCCCCCCAAACGAGTTTCGGGCTTCCCCGAGATTTTCGGGCGGTCCCAGAGGCGCCCCAGACGGCCCGGGATACTCCCACGAGGGGTCCACGAGCGCTCCGAGACAGCCCAAGAGCGCTCCAAGAGACCCCAAGACCGCCCAAGACCGTCCAAGGGGGCCCCGAGACGCCCCAAGAGGCCTCCAAGAGGCTTTCCAAGAGGGCCCCAGGAGGGACATTTCATTGATTTTTGTATGGCTTTCAGAGGTTGTCCTGGTTCTTCCTTTTTCGGGTCAACATCAGCCCGAACCGGCCCAAGAGGCTCCAAAGATCGCCCCAAGATAGCCCAAGAGGCCCCCCAAAGAGCCCGAAAACGATCCAAGAGAGTCCCAAGACAGCCCAAGAGGGCTCCAAGACGGGCCCAAGAGAGCCCCAAGAGCGCCCAAAGAGGCACCCAAGAGGGCCCCAAGACGCCGCCAGGAGAGCCCCACGACGGCCAAAGGCCTCCCAAACGCCCCAAGACGGCCCAAAAGGGCCCCGAGACGACCCAAGAGAACCCCAACAGGGCCCTAAAAGGAATCCAAAAGGGCCCCAAGAAGACTCCCAAGAGGCCCCCAAACGCTACATAACACTAACACCAGGGCTCCCAACACTGAGCTGCAATGGCATCCCCAGAAGCCTTCCAATATTTCTTTTCCTCCATCTTTCTTTTCTCCGTCTCCCTCCTTCTCTTTCCCGTTATCCTCCTGTTCCTCCTCCTTCTCTGTATACTCTCTCCTCCTCCTCCTCTCAACCTCTTCCCAAGTCCCGCCGCCGTGCCAGCCCCGCATTCTCGGCGGTAGCTGTTCGAACCGATGATAAGGAGGATGATGATAATGATGTTTACGCAGACGATGACGACAGTTGGACGATGACGATGATTGCGATGACCATGGCGAAGATCGGGCGAGGATGGATAGTGTGGCGAACGAGAGCCATTTGCACTATCACGGTGATTGTAACCATGCTCATTCTGGCGATGGTGGTGGTAATGATGACGTGATGCTATGACGACGACGACGCTGCTGCTGCTAATGAGGCTAATGTGTACGGGGCGTGGGTGATTATGCTGAGGATGATGATGATGCTGATGATGACGATGACGACGATGTTGATGAAGATGGTGCTGCTAATGATGATCGTGGTGACGATGATGACGATAGTGGCGGTGGTGGTGATGATGATGCTGATGCTGGCGCTGATGATGATGAGGCTGATGAGAATGAGGCGGAGGAGGATGAGGATGATGAGGAGGAGGAGAAAGAGGACGAGGATGATGATGAGGACGAGAACGAGGAAGAGGCCGCAAACGGTGGTGACGATGATGATGAGGAGGAGGGAGCGGAGGAGCCCTCATAGACCTCATTTGGGCCGTCTTCGGGGTGTCGCGGGCTCCTGAGGGGCACTACCGCCTGAGATGCGCATGTGTATGCGCACACATAGTTACACAGACCATTTGCAAATGCATGTACATACCCATACATACGTATATTCATATGTACATATGTAGTATGTTCCCATAGGCGCATGTGTGTGTGCGCATGTACGCACGCACGCACTCCGCTAACGTGCGAAACTCTAAAGGACCAAGGTGCATGGCGCGCAGCGCCAATGCAGTCTTGTATATACATGTGTGTATATATATATACACAAACTACATGCTTTCTCGGTGCGCGCGTCGCCCCTGGGGGCAGGACGCGCATATAATATTCGCATGTTGGGGTGACGCCGATGTCCCGCTCCATGGCGAGCTTGAAGATCCCGTCTAGCTCGTGCAAGACCGCGCCGGGGCTGTGCGCCAGCTCGTGCACGAAGCGCCCCGCCGCGGTGGCGTAGTAGGCGGCGGCCGCGTCGGGCCCCGCCCGTGCCGCGGGCACCTGCGCGACCTCCGCGCCGCCGTCCTCCTCTGCGAAGGAGCCCGGCTCGAACAGCACCGCGTCCAGCATCGCCTGCAGCGGCGGGTGCGCCAGCGCGCCGAAGCGCGACCGGTCGTTGAAGAACTGGAGGCACAGCGGCACGCGCAGGTAGGGCACGGTGAGGTAGGCCAGCAGGCGCTCGGCGTCGCCGAGGGTCAGCCGCTCCCCGAAGGTGCACGGCTCCGTCATGTGCAGGGTGTCGTCCTCGCTCTTGACCTCGCAGCGTGCCGCGCTCGAGGCCGCCGCGGGGCTCGGCCACCGCCGCGCCTCCTTCGGCTACACGCAGGAGTGATCCTGGGTAAGAGTGACCTTTGGAGGTCGCGGGGGGACCAAACACAGGCTTTTTGGGGGCCGCGGGGGGCCCAAACACAGGCTTTTGGGGGGCCGCGGGGGGCCCACTGGGCCTGCACCCAAAGGTCACTCCGGCGAAGGGTCACTCTTACGTCCAGTCGACTCCTGGGCCGTGCCGCCGAGGCGCGCCATCGCGGCCCAGAGGCCGCCCTGCTCGCGCTCCCGGCAGAGCGACAGCGGGCGCTGCTGGAAGGCCTCCACCTTGAGCCGGTCCTCGCCCGCGACGTACTGCCACCTGAGCGACGAGCAAAAGCGGGTCTCACGCGCGATGCCACGGCGACCTCACGCGGTGGCCTGTGCGAGCCGCCGGCGCGGCGCGCTGCTTCGGAGACCGAGGCGCTCGCGCGCGACCTCACGCGGGCTGCTCGCCCGCCAACGTCGGCGCAGACGGCCCCGCTTTTTTTTTCTGCGTCGCCCGCCGGAGCTCCACGTCCGCCGGCTGCCACGGCTGCCCGTCCCTGCGCCGGCGGTCCAGCGGCACGGGGACGCACAGCCACCGCAGCAGGAAGCTGACGTCGCGGAGGGCGGCCAGGCAGGGGAAGGTGGCGAGGAACTCCGGGTGCTCCCCGCAGAGGTACTGCGGCAGGCTGCTCGCCGCCGCGCCCCGTCCACGCGCGAAGCCGCCCAGGAGCAGCAGGCGCTGCACGAGCTCCCTGTCGCCGGGCGACGGGCGCATGTCGGCGAAGCCCAGGACGGACCTGCCGTCCGCCGGGCGCACCGAGGCCAGGTAGTCCAGGAGCCTCGCGCGGACCCAGACGGCGCGGGGCTCCCGGAGGCTCAGCTCCCTCATCTCCTCGGCCAGCGCGAAGGGCGCGAGCCCGAAGCCCTGACACCGCGCGCCCCTCTGCAGCTCGCCGCTGTACACCCGGCTGAACAGCGCGGGCGCGTCGCTGGGCACCTGGCGCGTCGCGGCGTCGAGGATCGCGACCGCGGCCCCGACCGTCAGCAGCCGCGCCGCGTGGAGGTGCGGCGTCGGGGCCAGCGAGAGGGAGGCCGCCGCGAAGTGGCGCACCAGCTTCGCCAGCTCCTGCGCCAGCAGCGCCTGCGCCTCGCTCGACATCGGCTCCCGCCGCCAGAAGCACGCCTCGGGCAGGGCTGCGCCCCGCGGCGCCGCTGGGAGCGGCACCGGCAGCACGTTCATGAAGACGTGCTGCACGAGGGCCGCGGCGTGGAAGTCGGCGTGAGGGACAAGGTGCCTCTCGGTGGCGCGCGCCGGGGGGACTGCCGTAGGGGGGGGGGGGGGGGGGGGGGGGGCGGTCTAGGGGCTCCTGAAGAATGCTGGGGGGGTGGCCTTCTTGAAGGCGTGAGCCTCTCCCAGAGGGGCCCAGGGGCTTCTGGGAGCCCCTCTCGGAAGCCGAGGGCGTGGACGAGACGAGACGAGACGAGATGAGACGAGACGTGACGAGATGCGATGGGGGCAATCGCGAAGCGAGTCAACACTAATACATGACCCTGGGCGGCTCTCTCAACCCTGCTGAAAGCTCTGGGCCCTCGATAGGGGAACAAAAAATGACATAAACATAACAACTCGGAGGTCCGCGCGGATTTCTCGGCACCAGACGGAAAGGGGCCTCGCGCGAGATGGCATAGCGACCTTACGCGGCGGCTTACGCGGGCCGCCAGCGCGGCACGCATCATTGGAGACTAGGGCGCTTGCGCGCGACCTTGCGCGGGCAGCTTGCGCGCCAATGTCGGTGAAGACGACTCCGCTTTTTTTGCGTCGCTCAATTGTTCGCCCCTGATCCGTTTCTGCTAGTCCCGGGGCCTGGCAATGGCCCCCGACCCTGACTCAATGTCCGCCCCACCGTTCAAGCTCCTTTGATGTCGATGTCTGCCCTACCTTGCCGCCGCTGTTTCCGCCATTACTTTGCGGAAGTGTAGCCCTACTCTTCTGAGGCGGAAATTCATGCCTTACTTGCTCGCTCTGTTTTGGGGGAACAAGAAAAATCAAAAAGTGGCATAAACATAACAACTCGGAGGTCCGCGCGGATTTCTCGGATCCACGCTGGAACCCCCTGGCGGCGCCTTCGGCGCCGCCCCTGGCGTGCTCCACGCGCCAGGGAGGGGGGTCCAGTGCCGATCCGAGAAATCCGCGCGGACCTCCGAATGTTCATGTTTATGCCACTTTTTGTTCCCCTGGGTTTGGGTACATCTCCGACACAGCTGTACGCCGGAAACATCAGCCGGAGAGCACGGCGGAGCACCCGGAGGGAGGGCCGGAACCGGCGGAGAGCCGATGCTGTGGCCCCCGAGGGCCAACATCGGGGGAAGACCCGCTGGCTGAAGAGATCATGGGACGCACAGGGACATACTAATACTATAGGTTCTCCTTGGAGGCGCGCGTCCGACCTGAACATATGGCATACCCATCTTGTAGGATATCGTTTCCCGTGCGGTGTGGCCAGAAAGCGCCCGCCACGACGCATATATACTGTAAGATTTCTCGGTGCGCGCGTCACCCTATGTCACCCTTGGGGGGGCGACGCACATATAGCATAAGCATGCTGGGGCGACGTGAATTTGGGAGGGTTGCTACTTGGTCTTGTAGCTCAATGATTCCAGCCCCTATTCTCTGCCAAACCTGCACTGTTTCTCAGGCTTCTGAATTGCATCTTCCGTAGCCGTGATGGCTCAAAACTGTTTTTTTCCGAGTCCTCATGAGAGCAGCCGACGCTCGAAATCGCGATTGTCGTAAAGATCTTTGATTTGAAGATGTCCTCTCTCATGCTTGTCTCTTGCGTGCTTGATTGAGTGTGTATTGAAACGCTTGCGCAGCTTGAAGGGGCCCTGGGACACACAAATAAATACACACAAATACCAGGATTCCCCGCATTTTCCCACATGTTCCGGGTTCTTGTCTTACCCCCCCCACTTCCCACATTCTCCCACATCCTCGGGGGAATCGACGGTTCATCGCGTCTGTGTGCTTCTTTACCTCTCTGACTGTTGGGGTGACGCCGAGGGGACGCCGCCCGCCCGCCTCTGCCGCAGGAGCAGCTGGCACATCCGCGAGCACTGGCACAGCACCCCCACGGCCCCGTGGAGGTCCGCGGCCGCCCCGGGCACCAGCACCAGCGGCACGGGCAGCGCCGCGTCGAAGGCCTGCGCTCAAGTCGGGCCTGTCCCCCCATACAGGGCTTTTTTTGTTGGGCGACAAAGAAAGACTAGTCCACAAAAATACCCCCCAGGTGCTCCCAAAATGGTCCCCAAAAGATCGCCCCCAGATGCTTATGTCTTGCCTGTTTGGGAATGTTCGCCCTGCAGAGGGACAGGCCCGACTGAGGCCTGCGCCGAGCCCGCCAGGTGCGCGCAGTCGCCGGCCTCGGCCAGGCGGCTGAAGCCGCCGAAGGAGCAGCTCTCGTCCGAGACCTGCCAGTGCCCTGGCGCCGCGGGCAGGCACTGCGCCTGTCCGGGGGCTGCCAAGGGGCGTCGCTGGCCCATAGGGCCCAGGGTGCGGCGGCGAGCCCCGGGGGGGGGAAGCGTGCGTCGGAGGGGGGGGGGGCCTTCGCAGGAAGGCTCGGAGGGCCTCGGGCCTTCTGCCACGTGATCTGAGCCTTCGCTGAAGACGCAGCAGAAGCGGCTTCTCCGAAGGCCCGGGGGGCTTCTGAGGAGCCCCGCCGCCCTCCGAGCAGGCCTGCCCCCTCTCGCTCCCCCCCGGGCGCGCCGCCGAACGGCGGCCCAAACTTTTCCCTCCCTTCTGGAGCGCCCCTGCGTGGGGCACTCCACGTGTCTTTCTCCTTCGCCAGGCTGCCACACGTGCACGCCTAGATTCGCTTTGCTCTGTTTGCTCGCCTAGGGCCCCCCTGGGCCTCGTTGAAAGGGTGCCCCGGGGCCTGCCGGGGACTCGCCTCCTCCTCCTCCTCCTCCTCCTCTCCTCCTCCTCCTCCTCCTCCTCTCCTCCTCCTCCTCCTCCTCCTCCTCCTCCTCCTCCTCCTCCTCCCTCCTCCCTCCTCCTCCTCCCTCCTCCCTCCTCCTCCTCCCTCCTCCCTCCTCCCCCCCTCTCCCCCCCCTGGGGCCAGGGGCACCTCCGCGTCAGGCTCGTGTCGTGCCGACTTCGGCGTTGGTTTCCGACACCGCGGGGACCGTTCAACCTCGAACGATCGGCCGTTTCCGAAACGACCAACTCGTTCCACATCGGACGATTCTGGGTCGCCTGCGGTGTTCAAAAAATGAACGCCGCTGGCGGGGTCGCCGCGGGTCGACACGACACGAACCTACCGCAGGTGGCGACATCTGAACCCTACCCCCGCCAACCATCGATTCTCCTGAATCGATGGTCGGCGGCGAGCGCGGGGGGGAAATGAGAAGGAGAAGGCCTTCTCAGAAGGCGGCGGGGCTTCTCCGACGCCCTCGCGCCTTCTGACAGGTTGTTGTTGTTGTCTGCAGGGAAGGCTTAGAGCACTTCTCAGGAGGCCGGGGGGACTTCCGAGCCTTCTGAGAAGGCCTTCTCCTTCTCGCTTCCCCCCCTTGCTCGCCGCCGAGATGGGAGGCGGGGGTATGTACAGGGTTCGGATGTCGCCACGTGCTCGACGAAGTCCGAACCCTAATTACCTCCGCCGCCCATCGAGCTGGCTGAGTCGCTGATCGGCGAGGGTAGGGTTCGGGTCTCGCCACCGATCTGGCAGCACCCGAGCCTGTCGGCTACACGCGAGAGCGATCCTGGGCAAGAGCGACCTTTGATGCGCGGACGGAAGGGGCGCAAGGTGGCCAAATCCGAGCGCACAAGCAGCCACTGCAGTCGACCCGCATCAGAAGGACGCACGATAAGGATGCAAGGGCCTTGGAAGGCCGTTTCGAAGCTGTTCGAGCGAGGCGCGGCCCACGAAAATGGCCTGGGATGGAACCTCCGCCATCCTGCCATTCTTTCCACCACTCCGCACTCTTCCCGAAGATCCGCAACCCTCCCATTTCTCCCAACTTCTCCGCACTCCTCCCGGGACATCCGCAATCCTACCATTCCTCCACACCCTTCCGCAGTCCTCCCGAACCCTCCGCAACCCTCCCATGCCTCCACATCCCTCCGCACTCATCCCAAACCTTGTGCAACCGTCCCATTCCTCCCCACCCCTCCGCAGACCTCCCAAAAGAGACCTCCGCAACCCTCCCATTCCTCCACGCCCTTCCGCATTCCTTCTGAAACCGCCGCAACCCTTTTATTCTTCCACATCTGTCCGCACTCATCCCAAACCTTCTGCAACCGTCCCATTCCTCCCCACCCCTTCCGCACTCCTCCCGAAAGATATTTCCTCAACCCTCCCATTCCTCCCCACCCATCCGCACTCCCCCCGAAACCTCCGCACTCCTCCCAATCCTCCCCACGCCTCCGCACTCCTTCCAAACCTCCCGCAACCCCCCCATTACCCCCCAACCCTCCGCACTCCTCCTAATCCACTGGAATTTCTCCCATTCCTCCAGACCCTCCGCACTCCTCTTGAACCTTCCGCAACCGTCCCATTCCCCCTCAACACTCCGCACTCCTCCCAATCCTCTGGGATTCTCCCATTCCTCCAGACCCCTCCGCACTCCTCTGAAACGTCTCACCCCTTACCTCAGCGTCTTACCCCCAGGAGCGGAACCTCCATCTTCCTCCTCCTCCTTCTCCTCCTCCTTCTCCTCCCCCTCCTCCCTCCTGCTCTTCATTCCTCCTGGAGGGTTGCGGGTGATGATGATGATGTTGATGATGTTGATGATGTAGATGATGATGATGATGATGATGATGATGATGATGATGATGATGACGATGATGATGATGATGATGATGACGAGGATGATGATGCTGATGATGATGGTGATGATGAGGATGAGGATGAGGATGATGCTGATGATGCTGATGATGCTGCTGATGATGATGATGATGGTGGTGGTGATGATGATGGTGGTGATGGTGAAGATGATGCCGCCGATGAGGGCGATGATGATTGCAATGCTGACGTTTGTGGCATCTGTACGGCCTCCTCCTCTCCCTTCTCCCCACTCCCACCTGCAAAACCAGATGGGGGACCGTACATGGACATTATATTCGAACCCTGTGGCCCAAGATGCCCCCCAGACACCCCGAAATCAATATTGATGGCGTGACGACGGGGGGGGCGTGAGTGGACAGAAATATTCGAACCCCCACAGCACCGCCTTTACTGAGATCAACATTGCTGTCGGGGGCGTGGGGGTGATTTGGAGTCTCCCTCGAATATGTAAGGGTTCGAATATATTGTCGATCTGCTGTAGGGGCCCCCCGAGGCTGAAAATAGCGAACAAATCTTCCCGTCGTGATTTTTTCACTCCTCGACGGGGTCTGGGGCTTTTCATGACGTCGACCCCCAGGGGTCTCGACCCATTCCCCAGGACGGGCTTGTCATCCCAGGCCGTCTTTTGACGGCCCCGAGGCCCGGTGGGGGCCCCCGGAGGCCGCAGATAGCGAACAAACCTTCCTGATTCTGCCGCTCCTCGACGGGGTCTGGGGCAGGAGTAGGAGGAGGAGGAGGAGGAGGAGGAGGAGGAGGAGGAGGAGGAGGAGGAGGAGGAGGAGGAGGAGGAGGAGGAGGAGGAGGAGGAGGGGGAGGGGCCTGGGCCTCCGCGCGCTCGGCCTCGCCGAGGCGGCCCGCGAGCCAGGCGTGCAGCCGCCCCAGGAGGCGCGGCTGCCACGCGCCGCCCGCGCCGGCGGGGGGGCCCCGGCCCAGCTCCGAGGCGCTGCGGGCCAGCGCGCGGCAGGCCTCGCGGCACGGCGGGGGCCGACCACATTTTTTTTGTGTTGCAAGCTGTGACCCCGAGATGCAAAACAACAAAACCGCAACGCTTCCCTAGCGGCGCAATTGCACCCGCCACAGGCCTGCACTCAGTCGCAACCACGGACTGCCAGCACAGCGAGCAAGCGACACTGGCAAGCGGAGGCGCAAGTAAAACAGGACAGACAGGCAAGCAGGCAATGCGGATGCTGCGGATGAGCGGGGGCCGACCACAAGAAGCCTCCCACAGGAAACCCAACCCCGAGGCCCCAGGACGTCCATGGATATTTTCGGCGTGGGAGCGAGGGGCTTCCCGTCGCAAAGCCATCGAGACCCAAGAAGCCCAGGGCACCCTGGAGGCGAGCAGGGTGTTTCTTGGCGTGGGCCTCCACTGTATGTTGCTCCCGTCGCACGTAAGGACCACAATCCCCCAAATTCGCCAGCCCAACGGGCCAGAGGCGTGCTAACATCTCTGGTAACTGTTAAACAACATTCTACTTAGCGCGCGCGTGGCGGCCCCTGGGGGTCCCCGGACGAAAAGTACCCCGGCCGATCCCCGGCGGATCCCAGGGCGATCCCCGGCCAGGTCCCCTCCCCCCTCCCCCCTCCCCCTCTGGGCGCCGCCCTCGAGGCTCTCCAAAGAGCCCCAAGGACCGCGAGGCCGACAAGAGCCCCCCAAGATGGTTCAAGAGTGCTCCGAGATGCCACACGCTCGCTTCAAGACGCCCAAGATGGCTCCCAGACGGCCCAACAGGCCCCCAAGAGGCGTCCCAAGAAAAATCGTCCCATTCCTTAGGCGCAACGTATATTTTTAGCATATTCGCCACTTGAGCTTTCACAACGTCAAAAGCGGCCCAAGAGGCCCCCAAGATCGCCCCAAGACGGCCCAAGAGGCCCCAAAATCGCACCAGAGGGCTCCAGACGACCCAAGAGGCCTCCAAGACAACCCAAGAGGATCCCAAGACGGCTCCAAGAGGGGGTCCAGACGGGAGACCCGCACGGATGTTTCGAGCCCTCGGCCCCGAGAGGCCCCCAGGAGAGCCCAAGAGGACCCCGAAAGGCTTCCAAGAGGCTCCTAGAGGCCCCCAAGAGGCCCTAAGATGCCCCTACGAGGCCCCCAAGAGGCGCCCAAGTGGCCCCAGATGGCCCCCCAAATGCCCCCCCAAGCACGCAAGCAACTGCCAGCGATGTTACAATATGGGCCGGCGGAATGAGCGAAGCGATTGAAGAATAATCTCGAGCCCCAGGAGGTCCCAGAAATACCGCCGAGCGGCTCAAAAAGAGGCCCCCAAAACAGGCCCACAAACGGCCTCCGAGAGGCCACGAACGCGCAGGCAAACGCCGGCGATGGCACAGTACGGGCCGGCGGGGTGAGCGAAGCGATTAAATAATTTCGAGCACCCCAGAAAAAAGTACCGAAACAGGGCCGAGCGAGCATCGCCTCCCAGGGCCCAACACGCGAAGAGCCTCCAGCTTCGGTACCTGCTAGGTGCTCGAAGTTCCCCAATCAGTGCTTGCACTGAAGGGGTCCTAGCAGGACTTGAAAGACTTGGCGAAAATTTCCCGCCGATTTGGTAGCAAGCAAGGTTCCCAGGTTCCCAGTTCAGGGTTCCAAGATTCCCGGTCATTGGTTCCGGGCCGATTCTG